ATTCCAGGATACAGACTTTTGGAGAAGGGCAGATATTTACATTTAGAAATATAGACTGACCTTTGTATGTATTGTTCCAGTATTTTGTAACTTGTTGGGGGGGAAAAATTGATGTGGGACCCGTGAGCTGATGGTTGGTGGCAACTGCAGTATTTAGTAAATTTAGCTAAACCTTCAGTAGGTATTCTAACGTCCAGCTGAATCTGTTTTAGATTTTGTTCCAGAAAATTTAGAGAGATAATGAATTGAATGTATCCAACAGTCTGCCTTTTCTTCCTAATATTCTTCTTGTAGTGAGAGATCAGAGTTGCCAACTCTTGAGATTTTACGGCAAGTCTTGTGCTATTTGGTCTTTTTATTCTAAAGCCCCACCCTCCTGAAACCAAGAGAATGTACAAGAAACTCAGCTTTCATTTTAAAAAGGTACATTTCTAGCCCTGCTGGTTGAGGAGAAAAGCTTGAAAAGATGAACGCAGTGCATCCTAAAGGCTCACAAACCAGAAGGCAAATAAAAGAGTCTAAATTTATTACTTTTTAAAAAATGCACATTGTTGAATGCCTGGGATTGGCAACACTGCCTCCTTCTCTTGTTGTTTTCTTTGCATCTTCAGTGTTTAGGTGGGCCTCCTCTGAAACGTGCCAAGCAGCTCACCCCCCATGAAATCTGGTCTTTTGTGTGCTTTTACCTTATACTATACAGATTTCACAGGAGAGACCAGTGTTTCTGAAATTGGGGGTCCTGACCCAAAAGGGAGTTATAGGGGGTCACAAGGTTATTTGGGGGGGGTAAGTGTTACCATCCTTACTTCTGCACTACCTTCAGAGCTGGGTGCTGGAGAGCAGCGACTGTTGGCCGGGCACCCGGCTCTGAAGGCAGCACCCCGCCAGCAGCAGTGCAGAAGTAAGGGTGGCAAGACCAGATCACGCCACCCTGACTTCTGCGCTGCTGCCTTCAGAGCTGGGCAGCCGGAGAATGGCGGCTGCTGTCTGAGGGCCCAGCTCTGCAGGCAGCAGCACAGAAGTCAGGGTGGCGATCCCGTACCAGGCCGTCCTGACTTCTGCGCTGCTGCTGGCGACGGCTCTGCCTTCAGAGCAGGGTTCCTGGCCAGCAGCCACCGCTCTCCAGCTGCCCAGCCCTGAAGGCAGCGCCGCCGACAGCAGTGCAGAAGTCAGGGTAGCAGCACCGCAACCCCCTCTACAATAATCTTGTGAACCCCCCCCCCAACTCCCTTTTGGGTCAGGACCCCTACAACTACAACATCATGAAGTTTCAGATTTAAATAGCTGAAATCATGAAATGTACAATTTTTAAAATCCTATGACCATCAAATTGAAATGGCCTGTGAATTTGGTAGGGCACTAGACGTAATCAGTTCATTTATTCTATCTGGTAATAAGAGAAGGAGGAGAAAACTCACAAGGTATCCCAGCCAAGGCATCTAAAAGGAATACTGATGGCTACATTAGTGCTTGCTTGGCTTCAGAGACATAGGGAAAATTTGGTATCACAGGCCTGTGCTATACAGAAGGTCAGACTAGACAATCACAATGGACCCTTTTGGCCTTGGAATCTATGAAGGTTGACCTAATGCAGGTTCAAATGGGAAAGGATCCCATATGTTCCTCATTTCTGCAGACATAGAATTTGCAATGGAATTCTTCCCTTGCTATAGAATGTGTGTCAGAATCTAAGCTTCCTTTTAATATTTATCCCAGCAGTTCTAAAAAAAATCCAAATTCCATAAAAAACCCCAACAACACACAAACACAAAAATAACAAGGAGTTCAGTGGCACCTTAAAGACTAACAGTTTTATTTGGACATAAGCTTTCGTGGGTAAATATGCCTGCATCTGTAATTTTCACTCCATGCATCTGAAGAAGTGGGGTTTTTACCCACGAAAGCTTATGCCCAGATAAATCTGTTAGTCTTTAAGGTGCCACCGAACTCCTCGTTGTTTTTGTGGATACAGACTAACACGGCTACCCCTCTGATACAAACACAAAATTCACACTGGAGTTCACTCCACACACATATTAATTAGTAGCTTGAATTTGACTCAAATTCCCCCTGGCAGGTTTATAAAAAAGGATTCAGAACAAAGAAGAAACATGGAGGACCAAATCCATATTCTGACCCATTTTTAAACATCAACACAAATCTTTCACAAAACAAAAGTCACCTCTATCTAACAAGTACACAAAAAAGTAGAGCTCCTTCAAAACGATCGTCGCTCGATTGTGTTTTTTTATTATTTTCCAAGCATTTTTAACATATCAAGATACCCTGTGACACTGAAAATTCTGATGCAACCTTAGCTATGGCCTTACAACTGCTCCTCCATCAGCAGCTTTATCTGGTTTTTGAAAATCTTATTTGTTTTTTGGGGTAGTTCACAAGGCACTTTCTTTAGGATTTTTGGATAGAAGAGACGACTACGTATTAGACATGCAAACATGTATTTAGATAGAAAGACAAGATTTTTAAAAATGGGAAGCTCAAGTCAGGCTCCTAAATCTACACTGTGGCACCTAAGTGCCCTGGTTGTCAAGAGCGCTGAGCACCCACCAGCTCCCATTGGAGCCTGACTTTAAGTGCTTTTTGGTGTGTGTTTAACTCTTGGCAACACATATATATTGTGTGTGTGTGTGTGTGTGTATATATATATATACACACACACACAAAATCTGTAAACCTCTGTTAAGTCACAATGTGATCACAAAGTGTGGACTTTGTTAGGAATTCCATCGGAAGCTGTGACTATAACATTAGCTCTCTCCATAGCGAAGTGTTAGAATCATGAGATGTAACATCAAATTGTGGGACTAATACACTTTATGCCAAATTTCACCAGCCAATCACAACCCATCCCATCCCACGTCCTCCTCACCGCCTGACTTTTCTTTATACACATTGTGTTTAGGCTGCAAGCCATTTGGTCAGTGACCTTGTCGGCTTTCCTGTCTCTCGAGCACCTAGTTGGTGGTGGAAATAACTAACTAGTAATAATTATAGGTAAGGCTGCGAGTCTGTCACGGAGGTCATGAATTCCGTGACTTTCCAGGACCTCTGGGTCTTCTACAGCAGCAGTGTGGCTGACCCCGGGCCCACCGTACCTGCCACTGCTCGGGCAGCTCCAGGCAGCTGGACCCAGTGGACACCGCAGCAGCAGCCCCCTCCCCCTGGAGCAGCCCCGGGGCCCCGGGCAGTCCCCTCCCCACAGAGCAGCTGGGGCACCTCAGGCAGTCCCCCTTCCCCTGGAGCAGCCGGGCTGCCCACTCCTCCTGGAGCAGCAGTGGGGCCCTGGGCCACCCCCACAGAGCTGCAGCAGTGCCCTGGAGGCCCCCAGAGCACCTAAGGTTCAGTCAGGAGTATTTATAGTAGAAGTCATGGACAGGTCATGGGACTGTGCTTTTTGTTTATTGCCTGTGACCTGTCCCCGACTTTTACTAAAAATACCCATGATTAAAACATAGCCTTAATTATTAGACATTTTGGGTAAAACTTTCAAAGGAGCTTAAGTGATTTACAACCCTAAGGCCCATTTCAAGGGTGGCTTAGGTACAAGGATGACTATTATGGGGTCACCTCCTCATGGCATCAAGTGACCCTGCAGCACACCTGCCTCAGTTTCCCCTCTCCAGCATCTTCCATCTCTCCCAAGGGCCTCCGTGACTCAGCCCTGCAGCTGGGTCACTTTCAGAGTTCAGTCCCCTTTCCGGCTACTCCAAGTCCAAAATAAACACCATCCTTGACAACAGTCCCAAGTTAACATAATAAAAATTTCTTCTGCCCCTCCTGGTCTTCAGTCACACTCTACTTTAAACCAGTGTTTCTTACCATTTATCAGCACGCTGGCTCTCAGGCCTTTTCCTCCACTGGGACCTTTCCTTATTCCGGAGTCAGGTTATAGCTCCCCTGTCTCCCGCGGACTGGGAAAAGTCAACCATCACTTCCTCCTGTCCCTCAGTTGCCTGTTCTTCATTCCCAATCCCAGAGCTCCTGCCCTGGAGCCTAGCCTTTGTTCCAGGACCCACTACAAATGCCAGCTCCGCTCCTGTAGCTTTCCCTCAGGTCTCCCTCTGCTGGGCTTCCTCCCTTTTTAAGTCCTACAGCTACAACAGGTGTGGCAGGGTGGGACTAACTGAACAGGGCTCACTAGCCCAGGCTTCCAAGCTCCTAAAGGGATAAGCCACCTTGTTACAGAAACAATGGGGCTTATGCTCCATGGTCACTTGGGCACCTTTGCAAATGTTATCTCTTAGGCCTGGTCTACACTGCGGGGGCGGGGGGGGAAGTGTCTAAGTTACGCAACTTCAGCTACAAAAATAGCGTAGCGGACGTCGACGTACTTAGAGCTACTTACCGTGGTGTCTCCACTGAGGTAGATCAACTGCTGCAGCTCCCCCATCGACTCTGCCTACACTTCTTGCTCCGGTGCAGTACCAGAGTTGACGGGAGAGCGCTTGGCAGTTGATTTATTGCGTCTTCAGTAGACGTAAGTGTACTGCTCCGCCGTAAGTGTAGACATTCCGAATGTCAGAGAAATTAAGATAATTACAAAGAAGAAAGTGTCAGACTTTCATCCTACCTCTGTCAAACTAAGAGGCAGGATGTGTACTCACAATACAGACATGCGGCAGAGCTCAGGTAGGAAAGAAGTGAGACCAAAATGGCACCTGAGAGATAATCAGGGCAGGTAAGTAAAACAAAAATAAGGATTATATGTAGTTTCAGCTTTTCTAAATATTAATTTATCAAGCCTTGACATATAGCAGAAGAAGACTGGAAAAATTATCATCATGGCAACAGAAAGCTTGCTAAACTAACCTGTCCAGCATTACTGGAAATGTTAGACATTTTACAACATACATTCTATTCAGTATTGGTTTTCATACTTCTCTCATCTGGGTAGTATATGAGCCCCTCTGGTAGTGCATTAACCAACGTAATTCCATATCTGTCAAGTGTTGTTTGTTCTCCCATCTTCTCCTGAGAGGGAGAAATGTGTATCTAATGTTAGAGCTTGTAGCAAATTAGGTAGCTCAAGCAACAAGGCAAGACAAAATTGTCTAAAAATCCCACAAAGGTAATGCAGCCAAAGCCCTGCTACAACAGCAGTTTCCTACCCTAGAGCAGGCAACTGTCAGCAAACGAACACTTTGGGCTTGTCTATACTGGCAAGTTTCTGTGCAGTAAAGCAGCTTTCTGCGGTGTAACTCCCGAGGTGTACACACTGCCAAGCCACTTTGTGCGCAGAAACTCCTCAGTTGCAGCCTTGCAAAAATCCACCTCGACGAGAGTTGTAAACCTTACAGAGCAGAGGCTCCAGCGCTGTATTGGCAGTGTAAACACATTACAGCACAGAAAGCAGTCAATTAGCCTCTGAAAATGTCCCATAATCCCTCAAGTGGCTGCTCTGCTCATTGTTTTGAATTAGGCTAGCTGCCCTGGAGACATGCACCCCTCCCCTTTCAAAGCTCTGTTTCTGACAGTCCTTGCGTGCTGTGCTGATCTGCTCTGGGACACAAAGCGAACCATTAATGTGGAATGCCCGTGCTGTTGAACACAGAGGCCGAGGTGTGTGTGTGTTGGTTGCTTCCTGCCGCTGTCTGAACTAACATGACAGCATGCTGACACACTCTGTGTCCTCCAAAACACACACTCTCTCTTCCCCCATCCATACACACACACACACTCTGTTACACACTCTCCCCACCTCCACTTCAAGTTGAAAAGCAGCTGGCAATGTAGTAGGATGCCCATGGAACAATGGGATTGGGAAACCTGCATCATGTGACGCTGTGCCTGCCCCATGAGGCATTGCAAACCCTTCCCAAAGCACCCTGCGGCCAATTGCACAGTGCGATAGCTACCACAATGCACTGCTCTCTTTGTCGTTGCAAGAGCTGCTAACATGGATGCGCTCCACAGTCACAAGGAGTACAGTGTGGACACGCAACAGTGGTTTAATTCTAGCTCGTTAATAAAAGTGGTATTATTGGATTAAAGTAATAACTAATTAATACATTTCTGTTATGGGAAAATGTGACAAAGAATGATTCCAGAACAGACCCCGGATTTGGCCTGACCATTAGAAAGAAATATGTCTCTCAGCCAGCCTGCTGAGTCTGTGCTAATTGAAACATGCCTATCAGTTTACACGGTCTGTGTTAATTGTAGGAGAACATCCCAAGACAGAAAGTCTGTTCTAAAGTGATAAGATAACCATTAAGGACAGCTGTTGTTTACAACTTTGTTTTCTGGAGCTCAGGAATAAGATTTGTTAAACACTCCCGCCCCCCCGCTTGCATTCCTATCTTGCTTGTTTATATGTAACAAGTATTATGAATGGGCTTATTGAAGTCTGTCATGCCCCAATTATTTTAGAATGGTTATGTTCAAGAATGAATAGGTAATAAAATGTAAATGTAATAAGAAAATATGTTAAGTGAAATAGTGTGTGATTGCAGATGTATGTTTGGATGAGTAATAAAAGATTGAGGTGCCAGCCTTAAAATAAGAAAAACAACTATTCAGGACCATTTGGCCGAAGAATGTGCTGGGTGAGATGGCCCAATAACCCTGAGGGCACACCAGAATCTATCCACAATCGCCCCAAGGACAAGCGAGGCTGAAGAACTGAAGAACAAGATAACAACAAGATGTCACTGCTGTGCCATCTGCGTGATGGATTATCACTTCAAACATGAGAACAGCATGACAAGGCAAACCCCATAAACTTGTATGAGGATGAATCCCTATTAAGATGGACCCTGAGGACTTTGGGTCTGGATTTGCAACCAACTTCCAGGAGCATCGGATGCGCATCTGACAAGGCCCTGCTCGATCCTCGTGTTCATGCCACCTAGGCAGTGACTTGGCAGGAGCAACCCCTAGGCTGGTAACTATAACAACAACCTTGCAGAACTTGTGTGTGTGTGAATGGAATGTTATAGCTATAACTGATTGTTTACTCTGATTCTTTCTGTATTCACAATAAACATGGCATATTGCCTTATCCCCTGAATAAAATCCTATTGGTTTTTATTTTCTAAGTGTAACATTATAACTTGTTGCACAGAAACTTGCCACTGCAGACACACCCTTTGTTTCAGTTTCTATTCCCTGAGCCTCTTTCTAATCACAGCCACCTGCAACCCAATTTGTGGAGGAAGGGGCAGCCCAGCATGCACACACTAGTTCAAATTGGCAAAAAGGGATATATATTCAAAATCAAAAGAAGTGAGTTATGAGACCCTGGTGAACCGATCAGATTGTTACATTTGTTGTAAAATGTCTACCATGTCCAGATAGGACTAGGTCAGTTAGAACAAAATACTGACTTCAAAAACAAATAATTAAAAAATGTAATAGAACTAAGAGAAAAGATACAGGATACAAGCAAGGGAAGGAATGTGGACTGTGTAAAGTTGTACCACCCAAGCTTTAAATAATATCAGTAACTATGCAGTACAAATTTACATCCAGCAAACACAGATGTAACGTGAAATATTTAAACTAAGGCTGTTTGAAAATGTTTTGTCAAAACCGTTTTTTTTACAGAAAATTGGGGTTTTTACTAACTTGGTGTTTTTCACAAGTGTCTGTTTTATTCAGAAAATGTTGATTTTTCATCAAAAGCCAAATGCCCGAAAACCAAGTATCTCAGTTTGGCTCTTCCGCAATGGTAACGCATGTCAGCTGTAGTTTGGCATGTCCCCATTCTCCTGTGAGCCAAGCTCCCCTGATACATCAAGGCCAAGGACTTCTCATAATGATATCACCTCCCCTTACCATGAGAGGAAGTCGTGGTGCATCATGGGAGATATAGTCTGGCCATGAAGCCTGGCCCATAGAAGAGTTCCCATGAAGAACTACAGCAGCATTTCCAAAGCAAAATATTTCAGTTTTCAGCTAAAATATTTCAGGGATTTTTTTGTTGTTTGGTGAAAAAACAATCAAACTTTTCCACGGAAAATTTTGACAAAATTTGTGTTTTGTGTTTTGTTTTTCCATCAAAATTTTCCATGGATTAAAAAAACCCAACCTATTTCCCAACCAGCTCTAAATTTAAACAAATGGATAAACAGTTTGACAAAGGAAGACAGTGGCCCACATTGTGGAGTTGCAAAAGGTCTGGGCAGTTATCAAGAAGACATCCTGGGATTACACAACACTTATGATGGTATGGAAGTTTGGCAATCCTCTGAAACTTTCATGAGAGAGCAGAGTGTGACGCATGGCCAGAAACAGTTAAGCATCCTGCAGAATAAATGATCCAGAGTCAATCATTAGAGACATATTAGAAAAGTATGTGAATGGTAATTAGGACCACTCCATGCTAGATAGGCTAGAACTTTGAAATGCAAACCTGTATTGTTAGAGAATTGAAGGTGATACTAATTGTATCGTGTTAGATGTTAGCCATATAAACAGAGAGTTCCTGTCTGTCACTATAGTTATTGATTCAGAGGTCAAAAGGAAATATTAACATTTAAATGAACTGTTTTAGAGTAGCAGCTGTGTTAGTCTGTATCCGCAAAAAGAAAAGGAGTACTTGTGGCACCTTAGAGACTAACAAATTTATTTGAGCATACGCTTTCGTGAGCTACAACTCACTTCATCGGATGCATGCAGTGGAAAATACAGTGGGGAGATTTTATATACACAGAGAACATGAAACAATGGGTGTTACCATACAGACTGTAACAATAGTGATCAGATAAGGTGAGCTATTACCAGTAGGAGAGAAAAAAAACTCCAACGAGAGACTGCTGGATTGGAATTAATTTGCAAACTGGACACTATTACATTAGGCTTGAATAAAGACTGGGAGTGGATGTGTCATTACACAAAGTAAAACTATTTCCCCATGTTTGTTTTCCCTCCCCCTACTGTTCCTCACACGTTCTTGTCAACTGCTGGAAATGGCCCACCTTGATTATCACTACAAAAGGTTTTTTTTCTCTCCTGCTGGTAATAGCTCACCTTACCTGATCACTCTCTTTACAGTGGATATAGTAACACCCATTGTTTCATGTTCTCTGTGTATATAAAATTTCCCCACTGTATTTTCCACTGCATGCATCCGATGAAGTGAGCTGTAGCTCACGAAAGCTTATGCTCAAATAAATTTGTTAGTCTCTAAGGTGCCACAAAGTACTCCTTTTATTTAAATGAACTGCAACCATAGTAATATCACTGTAGTCATCTCTCTTTGAAATGTATAGCATATCACCTGAGAATGGTAGAAAACGGGCAATTGACTTATGTTAATCCATATAGCTAATTACTAGTGATGCTTAGGAAATAGGTGTATTTCAAAGTCCCCATAATTGCCTATTGTTCTCCTGAGGACTCCAAGCTGTCAAAGAAGACTTGGAAGTGTATAAGAATGTCTGGGGTCCTGATCCTTTTCATCTCAGACCTGCTTGATGCTTCATGCAGGGGAAGAGTAAGTCATAAGATTGAGATCTCCAATCCTAACCTGGAATCACCATGAATATAAACATTGGACTATAACCTATGAACTATTTCTGAAAGAACTCTTTGCAACTACAAAGCTCACCATCTCTACTATGAATCTGAATCTCAAGAAAACTGTACTCATGTCTGTATGTATACTGATCTTTTAACCAATGCTCTATCTTTTCTTTTTTAATAAATTTTAGTTTAGTTAATAAGAATTCGCTGTAAGTGTGTATTTGGGTAAGATGTGGAATATTCATTAACCTGGGAGGTAATGAATCTGATCCTTTGGGATTGGTAGAACTTTCCTATATGATGAATAAGATTTTCAGTAATCCTCATCATATTTGACTTGGGTGTCTGGGTGGAGGCCTAAGGCTGGGTTGCTTTAAGGGAACTGTGTTGTTGGCTTCTGGGTGACCAGTGAGGTATTACAGAAGCTGTTTTGTGCTGGCATGGTAAATCTAAGTATTGGAATATCCACGAGCTTTGGGGATTGTCTGCCCCATTCTTTGCAGTTCACCCAGAGTAACTCCAGTGTGGTCCCCTGGTCACAGTAACCTTCATGAGAGCAGAGCATGCATGACTCACTCTGTAACACAGCAGTGATCTTAGACTGACAGGGAGTGCCCCTTGCACACATGATAGTGGGGCCCTTATTCTTAAAGGGGACATGGATAGAGAACAGTCTTATAGTTATATAAAATTACATACCTCCTGGGGCCGAATCAAAATTGTAAATCCAAATGACACCCCTTCATCCTAAACTTTGGGAAATTTTGGATCTGACCTTTGCATCAGGGGCTAATTTCTATTTCAAAATGGAAAGGTACTAGGAGGAAATTGCAGGGCAGAATATGCTAAATAGAAAAAGAAGAATGGAGATCTTTTTCAAGCTTTTAAGAAGGCTTTAAAAATGGAGAGTCCAAAAATAAACAAATAAATAAATACATTAAAAAACTTTGAGCTTCATGATACTGTCCTTTTGGAATCTCCAAGATAATTAATGTGCCACACTTGCAAAGATGTGCCGTATAAGAGAGTAGGATTTCTGCTATGGCATTTCATAAGTGATGTACACTGAATAATAAAGTCTAAACTGAGAGAGTGTTAAACGGATGAAATGTTAAAATAATTCTTGATAACCATACTTACCACTTACAGAATTCTTTACATCAACAAAGCACTGTATGAACATTAACTCATTATGGAAGGTATAAAAATATATATGAAAATATGCTGACTTTGGCTGCAACATTATCCTGACCTCACACTCAATAAAACAGGTACAGTATGTTGCAACAACTCAAAAATGACAGCTTTCTAGAACAAACTGAAAAATATGGTGGTGTTAAAGAGACACACTGGCGAATCTAAAAGCCATAAACATCTGTCATGGAAAACTTGTAAGTCTATGTTCAATTGTATCCATAACTTAGGATATTAGATTCTAATCTCTTAAACAAGGGTTTCCACCACCAGTTAAGCATGCGACTACTTAGTCTTGATTAGTCAGGGCAAAGTTGTAACTACAGTGCTTTAAATGTTCAGCAAAGTCCGATGATGGCAGCATATTGCTTTAATACTTTTATCTTTAACTCTGAACCAGAGAAATGTGACGCAGCCCCTCAGAATAGCTAGTTTTCTCTCATAGCAGGGGCTGAAAGGATGACATGGACAGTAAAAATTATTAATTATTAAATTTAGTTATGTAAAATAACAAACTGGGAGCACGAAAGAGCTGAATTAGAAATGATGTAGAGCAGGGAGTTTACCATGGGGATTTATTTGGATGTTGGACATTTCTTAGTCTCTGTTTTGGCTGAACTTTTACTATGTTCAAGTCAACAGATTCTCTAACCATCCAATAGGCTAACTCCTGCCTTCTGTTGCACTGGTACCAAGGTTACAGAGTGAGGAAAATAAGTAGAGAACCTCTCCTCATCACAACATGAGAGTGTGTTAAGAAGTGGGTCCTGCTTTCGTATCACATCCACAAGGCTGTAGTTTGTGCATTCAGGAGCGAGTATGACTCTCACTAACTATTCGTGTGTATGGCCTAGAGGATAAAGCAGCATCTCTGCTCCCCTTGATGAACTGGCCAGGACATGATTTGGTCCTGTAATATATTTGTACAATATTATTGCCCCAATGCTAGTCCTTAAACAGGTTAAGCCCAACATCTTAAATTGCAACCCATGCTAATTCTTAAATAGAAATGAAACAGCGAGTATGAAAACTAACCAGCTGTAGTACATGATACTATCAACTACTCCTTTTTCATTTCTTGGGGAAATCAGAGACTTGACTACGTTTTTCTCCACCTTAGGAAGGGAATGCAATGACAGACTGAAACAGCTTTAAAATCACCTGGCCTCTGACCACAGTGCATATAATAGTGAACTTATATGGGTACTTTTTCTCCCACCAGTGGCCCCCTTGACACTTTAATTAATATACATAAAATAAGTTTGATATCTGGGAGCGGAGGGGAGAAACAGCTGTTTAGCAGCATACAGAAGCTCTACATAACAGTCTGGGACAGATACTGAAGAATTCTACGGTATCCAGCTGAAACTAAAAGGATATGATTATCTGTATTACTGTGACAACCAAGGGCGCCAACCAGGATCAGGGCCACTGAGTTAGATACAAAGTACAAGCACATAGTAAAAGGTGGTCCCCACCTTTAATAGCTTACAAATATCATATGCAAATATCATTACGCAAGTCAGAATTAGGATACAGGTTTTGCACCTCTACATTTACAAAAGTATAATTGGACCTTTGATGACCATATGGTCAATATTTTTGTTTTCTATTTCATTGACAGCACCTCCAAATGTGCCTCCTATCATGATTCTGGGCCATTGGTTCACTAACAATTTAGGCCCTGATTCAACAAAACCCTTAAGGTGGCACTGAGCATTCTCTCTTTAAGTGCTTGGCTAGTTGGTTTTTGCTCACATGCTTGGGATCTGATAGTCATATGTGGGATCAGGAAGGAATTTTTCACCATGCCAGAGTGGTAGAGAATTTTGGGTGTTTTTACCTTCCTCTGTAGTGTGTGGGAGCAGATCACTTGCCAGGATTATCTGGGTATGTCTCACTGAACCAATTACCTGCCATTGCAGAGGCCTTGAGCACTGGTGTACCTCACCAAGTCCTACTCTCTTCTTGTGGCACATAATAGTCTAGTCTCCTATGGGTTGTAATACTTTGGTCTCATTTTGGTTGTTGGGTTTAGTGTGTGGGTACTAGGTACTGTTGGTGGCCTGTGATATACAAATCAGAATAAAATGATCTAGTGTTCCATTCTAGCCTTAAACTCTGTAACACATGCCTAACCTTCTGCACATGCTTAAGTGCAGTAATGAATTTGGGGCCATAAGAAGGAGTACCACCTACTGAACCAAACCACTGTTTTCTGCAATGTTCTTTAAAAGCTTGCTATCTGTTTATTGATCCAACCTGACACAGTTTAGTTTGTAAGACCCTACAAGAGCACATCTTCTTAGTGAGGTATGGCAGCAGGGAGTATAAAGATATTTAATCAGTATAACCAGATAAAAGATATAAAATTCTGTTGTTTACCAGAAAAACGAAGTATTTATGCACAAGGTGCTTTTGGTTCATCTATTTCCATGGTCAGTTCTAGTTTGATCTACAGGATTGCAGAGTAATACCAAGTGGTCCTACCCAAGATGGAAGGCTACATAAAATTGTAACACCTCTAAAACATTGCTCTAGCTCATTAAATTAAGGTTCTCAAGCTGTGGTCTATGGGCCACTGGTGGCCTGTGGAGAACTGGCTGGTGGTCTGCAGGGAGCTGGCAGGTCATAGGGGGCTGGTACTCCTAATCTCTAAATGCATTTTAGCAGCTGAAAACACCTAGAATATATATTAAATGCTATCCTAAAAATATTATCTTTCAATGTAAGCAATTGCTGTCATTAACCCAGGAGCTTGGGGTAAAATCCTGTTTCCACTGAAGTCAATGGTAAAACTCCCTTTGACTTCAATGGGGCCAGGATGTCACTAATTATGAGACTATGAATGTCCACATCAATTATGACTGGGCCAGCCATGAGACAAGAGGTTGTCTAGGAAAAAGAATAAATTGTGTTGATCTCTCCAGAATAAATAGTGCCAGCTGATGATATATTAAATCATATTTCATGAATAAAGAAACTAACAAAAATGCAAAATTCAGTCTTTATTTTATTAGAACAGGACTTGTGATGTTTTGTGGTTGGAGGAATGAACAAACTCATATCTGTAAAACATTAAAAACAAACAAGAAAGAAAACCTTTGCTTTCTGGGCATGCTCAGACCTATGCCACTGGAAAGCTTCCAGGAAGAGGTGATCTAAAATACTGTAATTTATAACAAATCAACTGACAGCACAAAAATTTCTGCATACATTACAAAATGATATATTTTTTACTTTATTTTCCCAATCCAATCCATAATTATAAACAGGCATTCAATTGTTAGGATGTTCTCTCCTCTTCTGGAATAACTCTTAGTTCATTTGGTCCCATACTAGACATTCCTGTTATTTGTTTCCAGATAGAAGGTAAAAAAATTTAATGGCAGAAAATGCAAAAAGGAGCTAACGCAAACAAAGATGCCTTAAGGGGAAATGGGCAAAAACAGGAAATCTGAAAAACCAGTAGGATTAAGAAAAATATTAATAAAATGGAAAAGCCATCAAACTGCAGCATTGCACAAGGCCAGCAATCAACACATAAGACAAAGTGAGTTTGTAATAACAGTAACAGTAAGTGACTGAAGAGTCAGAGACAGAAAAGAGGGAAAATTACAGCATCAAAGGAGAAAATTCAAAATAAAGATAAGAAAAATAATGTGAAAATATTAAGCACAAAATGACAGTACCCAGCTGGGCACCAGTTCAGCAATGTACTTAAATACATGTGTAACTCTGAGTAGTTCTGTTCACTCAGTTATGCACATACTTAAATACCTTTCTGAATCAGGGCCTCAAAAAGGAACATTTTGATACTATGGTCATGAGATCATCATATACAAATTAATACAGGCAAATTAGCTAGAAAGAACTGGAGAGGAAAAAATCAAAACAGAACAAGAATTGGAGGGGGAAATTGCTAAATTTATATTAGATTGTAAGCTCTTTGAGGCACGAACTATCCTTTTGTTCTATGTTTAGACATAGCACAATGGGATCCAAGTCCATAATTGGGCCCCCAGATGCTACAGTAATGCAAATAAACAAAAATAATAATAAAAATTTCAGTGGGGAAGAAAAGCCAGGTTTTAAATGGTGGAGAGAGCATGGCAGGGAAGTCAGACAAGTGACAAATTTGTTTTAGTCAATGAAATGTGAAAAAAATGTGTAAAAGTCAATTATATATAACATGGACCAAGAAACAGGGCTCGGAACTATTCTCTTTCGGCTGTTAGTCTAAGTTTTCACTAAATTTACTTTAATGAATAGTAGCAAAAAAGACCACTTCTATAAAAATACCACCCCCCAGGCCATTCCCCCTTTTTTGCTTCCCTGCATGAATCTGGGTTGAGGCTTTCAGTGTATGCAAATGATTTAGATACACTGGGTGAAATCCTGGCCGCACTGAAGTCAGAAGGAATATTTCCATTGCCTTCAACATGATCAGAATTTCACTCACATCCCTTCCCCCATTTTCACTGGATCAGATTCTATCATCTTTATTCAGGTCTTTTGTTTTCAGTGGGACTATTCATGAAATAAGGTACTATTTAACATGAATAATGGTAGCAGAATCTGACCCATTCATTTTAATGGGAGATGTGTATCTAGGGAACACATCTCAACCACTTTGAAAATGACAGCCCTGCTCTTTTTAAACAAATGACTCTCACCGACCTCAAACACACACACATTGGCTTCCTCTGAGCATCCTTTGCCACGACCTCCCCTCAGCTTTCTTTCCGAGTTTCTATATTTACCTCTGATGTCATTGTTTTCTCTTTCATATTCAGTGAGCATGCACAGAAAAGGTCTTTAACAGTCAGAAGTCAGGTATATAAAGAATTTTTACATACAATAAATGTGATTTTGCCACTATTACAGCAATAGTTTTCCAAAACTTATACTCCAAGTACTTTTTTTTTTCTTTAAAAAAATAAGCTGTTACTCTTCATACTGGTTTTAAAGGAAAATATATAATTATTTAAACTCTTATTTAAATATAGTCAATTATTTAATTTGTTAAAAAAATCACTGACTTAGGGCCCTATTTACAAAAGGCTTTTCATGCAAAAATGCATAACATTTTTTATATTATAAAGTCTTCAACATGTGGATATTACGAGGTTCCAAGGGAAAGTTGTGTATGTGAGAGAAGCACAAGTTTACAGCTGATAACATGAAGGACAGTCCATTTACTGACCGTAAAAATTTTTTATATATATATATATATATATATATATATATATAAAAACACAATTGTTCTCAAGTAGAATGTGCACAAAACCCCATTTACAAACAGAGCTATGTGTATCCGAAAACGAGTCAGAACAGGTTAGGTAGAGAGGACATTCTTATACCATAAAAATATATGTCAGCATGAAATTTATCTAAGGTACTAACTTAGTTTAACACTTCGATTTAAAACATAAGTTTACCTCTAAAGAAAACCCTTTTGCTTTAAAACTTTTATTTAAAAATTAACTTTACTATAAAAATCTTTCCTTTACAACTTTGATTTTTAAAAAACCAGTTACATTATTAGACAAAATATCAAATTATAGAGGCACAATTAGTTAATGGGGCTACCAGTGGCAGCTGTTTTTCTTTTTTTAAAAAAGAAACCCTTATTTCCAGTGATTTATAACATGGTCCTAAGATTCTGTCTTGAACTGACAAGTGTATAAGAAGGCCTCTGGGAAAATAAAAGCTATTTCTAAAGTTAAAAAAAAATAACCATGAGTTATAAAAGAATCTAATCTCTGGTGATGTAAATACATGCAACCTCTTATTTAACATGGGAATTATGCATATGCATCAAAAGAAGAGATGCCAAGAGTATTAATTTAAAAAAACCCTATTAGTTGTTTATGGTGCTTTTTTATTTCATAAAACTCAAAAATGGTGTTTTTTAAAACCAATATTTTGAAGTCCATTAAGTCTCTAACTCAAACTAGTGACCATGGGCACTTTGGAAAAATGCAAATAAACCAGTTGTTTAAACTTTTTCTTTTTTCTTTTTGCATATGCACAATCATCCTGTGCACTGGCAAGAAGATGTATAATAAGGCTAGATGGGTATTTTCCATTCCAAATTACTGCTATTTTTTGTTTAATTTTCAAATGGATTTCAGAAGATTCCAAACAATTTTGTATGGTTTATTGAGTTGTAAATCTGCAAATTAAGGTGCTGATCCTGAAGATATTATAAGTACATGCTATACTTGACCCAGGTGAAGTTCAAAGTGCAGAAGTATTTGCAGGATCGGGGTCTGCAAATTCTAAACATGCCTTGACAAAAGAGGCTGTCACTATAACAGTTCTAAAAAGAAAAAAGGCTATGGGCTTTTCCACTGTTGCCTTCAGAGCTGGGTGGTCGTAGCGTGGCAGCTGCTGGCTGGAAGCCCAGCTCCGAAGGGAGCAGCAGCACAGAAGTAAAGGTGGCATGACATGATATTACCACTCTCTTTTCTATGTTGCTGCTGGCAGTGACGCTGCCTTCAGAGCTGGGCTCCCAGCCAGCAGCCACAGAACTTCCTGCAGCCCGGAGAGGTTCCCAGAGGTGGTGTGACCTGTGCAGAAGAAGAGGAAGTCCCATCCCTTCCCACCCTAGCCAGAACTAGGAGCTGGAACCCAGCGCATGGTAGGAGCCCCCGACTGGGGCTCCCACAGCCCTACCCTTCCCCAGCTCTGGGCCCAGTGCTTGGGGGTTAAAGCAGTCTTAGTGGGGGGGACGGGGGTGAGAGCACAGTGCCCTCCTGACCATGGCACCCTGGAAGATTACCCACATCGCCCACCGTAAGGCCAGCTCTGCTGCCCCCAAGTGATGACCCCACTCATACTATGCCACTCCCACTTTTGCACTGCTGGTGGTGGCAGCTCCGCCTTCAGAGCTGGACGCCTGGCCAGCAGCTGCCACTCTCTGGCCGCCCAGTTCTGAAGGCAGCGCAAATATAAGGGGGGGGGCAATACTGTGACCACCCTACAATAGCCAGATTTCACAGGGGAGACCAAATTTCACGGTCCAAGGTGTGTTTTTCATGTCTGTGAATTTGGTAGGGACCCACCTAGAGATATGTGGAATTGTTAAGACTGTTAATAACCAACCATAAGTCAGTATGGAGTAGGATTATTTTAAAACTGCAGTTAAGTATTTACAAAATAGTCCTTAGCTGACTAAACTCTCATGGCCTTAGATTGTTTTTAAAAATATTTTACTAAGTTTTAAAAAGAAGGAAACTCTCAACTACAGTAAACTAAGTTTAAGTAAAAACAGGTCTGCTCTAAATACACAAAAAAAACCAAAAGGGCTTCACAGTTAAGGCTGAAATTCAGGATAACCCACTGCTATTCACACTCACTAGTACAAACTTTTTCTCTGATCTATTCAAGAATGCGAAGGTGAATTATGAAACAAACCATTAAGCTAAATTTTCAGATTTAACTCTAAATTTCTTTTGGTTTTTGAGGTTTCATTAGGACCATCCATGTTGCTTGTATAGCACTGGAAAGATTATTTCTTTACCAACACCATTCATTATTGCTAGAGTGAAAGTCCACAGTGCTCTAGTTTTGTCCAATAAAGCTGGACATGGTTTTAGAAAAACACTAAATTACACAACTTGCTACAATACTGTAATCGTATATTTGTTGAAGACACCATTGCAGTGATCTGCTTTGTATCATACTGTATTAAACTGCTGTTGAAACAGTCTTGAAAATGTATTGTATGTGTAATTAGGTGTGAATATACACATACAAACACAAATACATATTCCCTACAACTTAATATTACTCCATTTAATTTCTAGCACAATTGTTTAATCATATTTTTACACTTTACAATTGTGAGGAAAGGTAGGCACAATAAATAATGTTGATTCTACATGATACTTTATTATAGTCTAATGCAGCATAATGCACTGTATTTAGTATCACACAATACAATATGATACAATTCAAGCTCAGTTTGTCTCCTGTAAAGGGTGATGGTGCACTGAAGTGTAGTAAATAGGGTCCTAAGTGCTTAATTTAAACAAATACACAATTTCTGTAACTTTACACAATAGAAGAGGAGATTACTTACCCTCGAGATGGGTGATCCCTATCTGTATTCTGCAGAGGATTTATGCATGCATGCCATGAGTCCAGAGCCAGACAAACTGAAAGTAGTAGTGTCCTTTGGTCTGCACATGCACCCCTCCTTTGCCCCATGGATTTGTCCAAGGCGATAAAAGGCGGAGCGAACAGACCACGTCTCCAGTTCCTTCTCCACCGCAAATCGAATAGATCCACAGCAGAAGGGAAAGTGGAATACAGACAGACACCCACATCTCAAAGAGCCTCCAGTTACAGGTAAGTAACCTGTTCTTCTTCAAGTCATGGTCCTTATTGTATTCCACTGAGTGTGAGGAAGAGGAAAAATAAGGACCCCTGAATGCCTGAAGTGGGCTGTCATGACAGAGAAAACCTTGGTGAAGACCTGGGAAGCAGTGGTGAGTCAAATGGTAGGACCCTGCACTGAAAATGCTGAGGACCCAACATGAACCTCAGGAATCTCCTGGGGGTTGGATGGATGTCTATGTGAAAATAGAGCCGTAAACCCACATGCCTTTTTCTAGAGAAGGTGTGATGGCTGCTAAGGTAACCATACTAAACTTGGGCTTGCAGATGAAGTGGCTGAAGTGACGTAGGTCCAGGATTGGTCTCCAGGCACCCTTTTCCTTGAGTACCTGGAAGTAAGTGGAATAACCCTGTGCCCTGATAGTTCAGAAGAATGTGCTCTATTGCTCCCCTTTGCAGTACAGAGAGTCTATTTTTAGGGCAAGGATGCTGTCATGAGAGTGGTCCCTGAAAAGGGATCAAGGCAGGGGATCTGGATGAAGTAGTGTGGTAACTTGTATAACCATAGTGGATGTCATCCAGGACCCACTTATCAGTTATTATTGCACTCCAAGCTGGTAAGAAGAGTGCTAGATGACCCCCCAAAGGGGGTGGGTTGGTTCCATGGCAGAGGGCCTGGTGGTTGACAGTTCTCTAGTGGTACACAGAAATATTGCTTTGGAGAGGACTGCATGGAAGACGACAAAGACGGAGAAGCCGGGCCTGGAGGGTGGGATTCGTTGGGTTTTCTGGCACTTACAAGGAGGTTTATATGGCCTCTGATGGAAGAACTAGGGAGAAGTGAATCACTGTGGGTGGTGGGCAGTAGAATTTTTGCTTGCGTACAAGTGTATAGATACCCAGCAATCTAAGTGTGGCTCTGGAATCCTTGAGGGAATGGAGGGATTCGTTGGTTTTCTGATTAAACAGGTGACTCATCAAAAGGAAGGTCCTCAATGGAAGGACAAGGAGTAATGGTCTCAAGTTGCAGTGGGGGAGGTTTAGGTTGGATATTAGGAAAAACTTTTTCACTAGGAGGGTGGTGAAACACTGGAATGCGTTGCCTAGGGGGGGGGGGGGTGGAATCTCCTTCCTTAGAAGTTTTTAAGGTCAGGCTTGACAAAGCCCTGGCTGGGATGATTTAATTGGGTATGGGTCCTGCTTTTGAGCAGGGGGTTGGACTAGATGACCTCCTGAGGTCCCTTCCAACCCTGATATTCTATGATTCTATGATTCAATGGTATTCTGCACATATCTGGGAAAACTGCATGAGTGAAGCCATGATTCCCTTCGCATGACAAATGCCTGTGGCCATTGAGCATAAAGTGGTATCTGCAGCATTCACAGCCGACTGAAGCACCATTCTAGCCACCAGCTTACTCTCCTCCAGGATAGACTGGAAACATGCTCAATCTTGCGAGGCAGCTTTTCAGTAAAGTCCCTCACTTTACCATTGTTATTTGACCATCAAGGCTTGGTAGTTTGAAATTGGAATTGGAGGCTTGCTGAAGAGAAGACCTTGCATCCCAGAAGCTCTAAATGTTTGCCCTGCTTATCTGTCGGGTGGAGCACAGATGTTGCTGTCTGGAGCATTCCGTTGCTGCTTGCACCATGAGAGAATTGGGGTGGGGAAAGAAAACTCTGACCCCTGGGTTGGTATGTAGTATCTCTTCTCTGTGTGCAAGTGGCTGGGGTATGCCAAACCATTCAAGCTGGCTGAAGAATAGCTTTGTTGACTGGTAGGGCAACCCTGCTCAGTACCAAGGAATGAAAGATGTCCAGGCGCTGATGCAGCTTGTCTTGTACTTCCTCCAGTGGACTATGAAGCTTGTCCGCCATTCTTCGCAGGAGTTCTTGGAACTGGCAAAAATCACCAGGAGACAAGGGGGAGGCTGAAGTGACTGCAGCATTTGAAGAGGATGAAGGGAAGCATTCCTGCTCCAGCGGTACCGTTGGAACAGGACTGAGTAGTTCATCCTCCATAACTTGTTCAGAGCGTCTGCTCAAGGGTGCCCCAACGGGGACAGAGGCAAAGCCTCCCACGTGGAACAGGAAAGTTCTGAGAGTAGGTAGTGAGATCAGGACCCTCAATAGGGCCAGAAAGACTGATCCTGTGGATGTTGCGGAGGGCCCCATGCTGAAGGCAACCAGTGGCTTCTCTGTTGTTGGGGGGGGGGGGTATTGCCACTCCACTGGCAGTCCCTTTGGGTACTCATACTGGAAGTAGGGAATGGGCAGCTCTCGTGCTCTGTCAGAATCCAAGGACGAAAAGAACTCAGATCCTGGTTCCAATGGCAGTACCGTTGGAAGTGTGCAATCCACAGAAGGAGGCATCCAAGTGGGGCCTGACTGTGGCAAGTGCCAGACAGGAGATCAGACTTATAAGAACATAAGAATGGCCATACTGGGTCAGACCAAAGATCCATCCAGCCCAGTATCCTGTCTACCAACAGTGGCCAATGCCAGGTGCCCCAGAAGGAGTGAACCTAACAGGTAATGATCAGTGATCTCTCTCCTGCCATCCATCTCCACCCTAGGGACACCATTCCTTACCCATCCTGGCTAATAGCCATTAATGGACTTAGCCTCCATGAATTTATCCAGTTCTCTTTTAAATCCTGTTATAGTCCTAGCCTTCACAACCTCCTCAGGCAAGGAGTTCCACAGGTTGACTGTGCGCTGTGTGAAGAAGAACTTCCTTTTCTTTGTTTTAAACCTGGTGCCCATTAATTTCATTTGGTGGTCCTTAGTTCTTATGTTATGGGAACAAGTAAATAACTTTTCCTTATTCACTTTCTCCACACCACTCATGATTTTATATACCTCTATCATATCCCCCCTTAGTCGCCTCTTTTCCAAGCTGAAAAGTCCTAGCCTCTTTAATCTCTCCTCATATGGGACCTGTTCCAAATCCCTAATTATTTTAGTTGCCCTTTTCTGAACCTTTTCTAATGCCAGTATATCTTTTTTGAGATGAGGGGACCACATCTGTATGCAGTATTCAAGATGTGGGCATACCAAGGATTTATATAAGGGCAATAAGATATTCTCCGTCTTATACTCTATCCCGTTTTTACTGATTCCTAACATCCCGTTTGCTTTTTTGACTGCGGCTGCACACTGCATGGACGTCTTCAGAGAACTATCCACAAGGATTCCAAGATCTTTCACCCGATTTGTTGTAGCTAAATTTGCCCCCCTCATATTGTATGTATAGTTGGGGTTATTTTTTCCAATGTGCATTACTTTACATTTATCCACATGAAATTTCATTTGCCATTTTGTTGCCCAATCACTTAGTTTTGTGAGATCTTTTTGAAGTTCTTCACAGTCTGCTTTGGTCTTAACTATCTTGAGCAGTTTAGTATCATCTGCAAACTTTGCCACCTCACTGTTTACCCCTTTCTCCAGGTCATTTATGAGTAAGTTGAATAGGACTGGTCCTAGGACTGATCCTTGGGGAACACCACTAGTTACCCCTCTCCATTCTGAAAATTTACCATTTATTCCTACCCTTTGTTCCCTATCTTTTAGCTAGTTCTCAATCCATGAAAGAATCTTTCCTCTTATCCCATGACAACTTAATTTACGTAAGAGCCTTTGGTGAGGGACCTTGTCAAAGGCTTTCTGGAAATCTAAGTACACTAAGTCCACTTGATCCCCCTTATCCACATGTTTGTTGACCCCTTCACAGAACTCTAACAGATTAGTAAGACCTGACTTCCCTTTACAGAAACTATGTTGACTTTTGCCCAACAATTTATGTTCTTCTCTGTGTCTGACAATTTTATTCTTTATTATTGTTTCAACTAATTTGCCTTGTACGGATGTTAGACTTACCAGTCTGTAATTGCCAAGATCACCTATAGAGTCCTTTTTAAATATTGATGTTATATTAGCTATCTTCCAGTCATTGGGTACGGAGGCTGATTTAAAAGGACAGGTCACAAACCATAGTTAATAGTTCTGCAATTTCACATTTGAGTTCTTTCAGAACTCTTGGGTGAATGCCATCTGGTCCCAGTGACTTGTTACTGTTAAGTTTCTCAATTAATTCCAAAACCTCCTCTAGTGACACTTCAATCTGTGACAATTCCTCAGATGTGTCACCTACAAAAGATGGCTCAGGTTTGGGAATCTCCCTAACATCCTCAGCCATGAAGACTGAAGAAAAGAATTCATTTAGTTTCTCTGTGGTGACTTTATCGTCTTTAAGTGCTCCTTTTGTATCTCGACCATCCAGGGGCCCAACTGGTTATTTAGCAGGCTTCCTGCTTCTGATGTACTTAAAAAAAATTTCGTTATTACCTTTTGAGTTTTTGGCTAGCTGTTCTTCAAACTCCTTTTTGTCTTTTCTTATTACATTTTTACACTTAATTTGGCAGTGTTTATGCGCCTTTCTATTTACCTCACTAGGATTTGACTTCCACTTTTTAAAAATGCCTTTTTATCTCTCACTGCTTTTCTAGGTGCAGGTGGCAGAGGAAGGTGCGAACATCTTGGTTCCGCCACGGCAAACCGCTCATGTGACTCCGGTGCTTTCTCCAAGCATCCCTGTGTCAGCGGTTCCTGTTCTGTAGCCAGCACCAGAGCAGAAGACTGTCCAAGAAGTGGTGGATCCCTTGTTTTAAAGGAAGCTGACACTGAAGGCATGTGCAGCTTGGTTCTCTGTACTGGCAAATCTGTTGGTCTGCATAAGTTTTGTGTCATATGTGGACACCTTGGAACACGCTGCTTCTCTGTGGCTGGAACTCATGGAAGGCACATCATTCTTTTTTGGCTTGGAGGAAGACTTACCTCCATGCTTATGTGCATGCTTCCTTGCCTCCGAACTAGGCCCTGGCATGGGGTCCATAGCAGCGGTACCACCAGAGCCAGGTTCAAGCTCCGAGGCTGGAGGCACACTACTGGGTTTCTCAGGCAGATATACAGGGGTGGGTCGCTGGACTGGGTCCAACTGCAGTCTCATGGTGACCTCCATGAGGTGCTTCTTGAGGACGACAGCCCAGCCTTCTCAGGTATGACTTGGGAAGGACTGGCAGATACTGCTGATGAAATATGGGCTTCTCCCAAGCAGTAGAAGCAGCATTGGTGCTCATTGCTGATGGAGAACAAAACGGGGGCAGGAAGTGCAAATCCTGAATCCTGGCATTTTTGGCATAATCTAGCACCGGTGTGTGGGGTTGCTGGAGATTAAAAAAAAACAGATTCCCCCAAAAGTCCAAATCCTACAAAAACTATTACTAAAAACTTAACTACCTAAGAAACAGTAATGACAGCAGAATAAAAAACTAACTATAGACAATTTCTAAAACATTTTTCTTTTAAAAGTGCATCAGAGACGAGAGGACATTAGCAGCTCTGACTTGGACCATGCAGTTGTGAGAAGGAACTGGAGATGCAGTCCGTCCACCCGACCCTTTATCACCTAGGATGAATCCGCAAGGCAAGGGTGCATGCGCAGACCAATGGACACTACTAATTCAAACTCTCCAGCTCCAGACGCATGGCACACATGCAAATTCTCAGTGGAATTCAATAGGGACCATCATTCAAAGAAAAACAGTGCAATATGTAGTGTGCCCATATTCCAACATGAAATTAGTTTGTTGCTACAGTAGTTTATTACTGGACCTTTGATCCATTGTATCTGCAGTTCTGGTACACCACCTGGATTTTGTATAATCACCTTCTGTTCACTCTCTTTTTCCTCAGCCTATTCCCAGGTGTTGGGTAAGTAAAAGTTTGTTGTTGTTTTATTGGCTAGCTATCTATTGGTAAAACAAGACAGCCTCCCAATACAGGTATACTAGAAGTTCTTCCAGAGGGCTATTTCACAATGCTGGGGAGACCCTTATCTCCCAGCTCCTAACTTTGGAAGAAGCTAGTTCTGGCTTCTTCGGAAAAGACCCTGCTGTGATTTTCTGCCTCTTTTCAGTAATCCCTGAAATGACTGTAGAGTTCAAAAACGTCCTCCTGGGTTTCCTCCTAACATTTAGCTTTTTAGCATCAAGTTTTTCCTTTTTGAGGTGCTTTCCCAAAGTAGGTTTCCTTGTCTGGTGCCTATGGGTGGAGAAGACAGAAGAAGATTTTTGGGCACAAGAGGAGAGCTTCCCTCTTATCTGCTCCTTTTTTCGCTTTTTAGTTCTGGATGCTTGTTTGCATGGGGCTACTCTACTTCCTCTTCTCACAAGGCCACAATTGACAGACATGGGTACTGAAGCCTTTTTGGAAAAACCTGGTTCCCTACTAGTGCCTTCTTTCCGCTTCCACATTGTCTTTGAATTCTCCCTCTCCAACCATTCGCTCCTGATTGACTTCAAAGGTATTTTGGCAACCCTGCTATTAATTGGGGTTAATCTAACATCTCCTTCTATCTGAGACTGATGGGAGTTGAAAGGTGAAATGACTAAGTGTTTATAGGACTTCTCTGAGTGAACAAATACTGGAAAATCAGACCTTTCTGTGGAAATGGAAGATCCATCGGTCCTCAGACTTGAATTCATATCATTCCCTTTAACTGGATCTGACAGGAAAGCCGCTGAAGAGGAACTATAGAAGCCTGGCCAATTGAAGGATTTAGATGGTGTATATTCTTTCTGCGTATCAGATAGTTTCTTCGTGTTTGCATCGAGGCTTAGACTCCTGAACAGTTGTCGAACATGGGAGGGCTTTTTGGCTTTTTCTCTAACTGTGCTCTTGGGAGGTGTTTTCAGAATTCGATTTGTCAGTGGGTCATAATACTTAAGAGAACATTGTTTGTATCTGTACCTTACAGAGTCCTTGCTGTCTGTGGAGTTGTGATTTCTCCTCATTTTGGGAGCATCTATGGGTTTGCCTTTATATTGTTTAATCTCTGGACATGAAAGGACATAAACCACTGTCTTGGGCTGCAGAGGGCTCATAATTTTGGTATATGCTTCAGGAAGCTTGAGGGCACATAGTCTGGTTTTCATGTTTGAAATTCTTTCATTCTCTGACCAAATAATGTTTGCTTTCTGATCTGGTGGATCAGACTCCTTTCTAATGATTTTTCTTTTTACTACTGGATAGTTCACTAAACTGGTTTGGGTTCCATGGCTGACTTTGACCACTTGGCATCTTGAAGCAAGGCGCCACGTCCTCTTTCTAGGTATCTGAAGTATTTGTGGGTTGCATAGTGTATCAGAGGCCAACAAGTTATCAAAATCAGAACCACCACTTACAGCATCATTAAAGTCTGGCAATGCTTTAACTGATGAAGTTTCTGTTCTGTTACCTGTAACAATGTCACTCTTCCTTTCATCTTTCTGCTTCTTCCTCATCCTCTTCTCCGTACAGTTGGCAGAGGGTTCACTGTTGAAATGACAACGGAAACGACCTTCCTTGAAATCACGCACAAGTGCTTCAATTTTTATATCATCTTCGTACATTATCTGGGACCACGTCTTTCCCACAAATGAAGGAGGCACATGAGGCAGAGCTGGAAGAACTGGTTCCTCATTATGAATTATTATATCCTGTGTTGCTGCTTCTGTTTGCTCCACTGAACCACCTTTTAAAACAGAACTAAGTTGGGTTCCATAGTTTCTATCTTCCAGGTTTACTTGGACCTCTTTTAGGAATTCTATATCATTTGTAGCTGCCTTGGGTAGGCCTGCTCCTGAGCAAATAGGTGCCTCACAATTAAAACTCATTTCAGAGCCCTCTAGACTACTGTGATCCAGAAGTGATGAAATATTTAAATAGGAATTACTCTCTTCATCTTTGCAAGACAACTTATTAGGTGGAGCTCCATGGCAGTACTTCAGAATGACTTCTTCAATTATCCTATCTACTGAAGTTTCATCAACCCTGCTCACCTTGATGTCTTTGTTTCTTGTTAACTGTGGGGATGCCCCAAAACTTAGTGAGTTGCTAGTAACCACAAGATCCCTGAGACAGAAGTCAGACTCCAAAGTTTCATCCTGAGATTGTAAACGATCTAGTTTAAAAAAAGATTGACCTGAGATAATATATGAAGAGTTGCCTTGGTTGCAGGTAGGATTCTGATGTGAAAATGAAGGGTTTTTTGGGTGGACTGATATCAGAACAGGATTAGGATTTGTGTTTAATAATCCATCCTTATGGCATACATCCTTCTGCATGTGATCATATCTGCTACTTGGAATCAAATTTGATGTTGCTGAGTACCTAATATTTTTTGCAATTACAGGGCTAACAGGAGAACTGTGACATAAAGGAGTGCTACGCAAATGGTGAGATACTGGGCTCACAGCTGTAAACTGGCCATCACAGCTACTATTTGCAATTTGAGCACCATCCGTTACTGTATGTTTTTTCTCATTGCTACAGATGTCCAAAGTTTGCTGGGATATTTCTAAGATGTGTTCCTGTCCCATCTTTAGTTTTTGGATAAATGTCTGTGGCACAGAAATTGACTTTATGCCCTCCTGAGATCTGCAAGGAGAAGGGGAGCATGATTTAACAATGGATTCACTGTCTGTGCCAGGCATCTCCCGTATACTTCTTACCACCTCTTTCTCCTCTTCTGGAAGCAGGAAAACATCCCGGGGAACCATTGGGGAGGTGGGAAATGGCATGTCATCATATGTTGGTCTGGAAAAAACAAACTGTATAAATGTTGTAAATACATTTAAAGCTTTTCAAACAGAGGAATTAAGAGTTCCATAACCATTATTAAGTATAGTGCATTATGATTAAGAACAAACTCAAATCACTACCTACAGTGCTTTACAAAGCAAAGCTTCAAGAAAAGAAAGGAAACAAAGACAATGTTTCATAAAGCACTCCAAAGACAGAAGACAAACTGGGCATTTGTCTGATTCCATAAAGCAGGGGTGGGCAATCTTTTTGGTCTGAGGGCCACATCTGGGTATGGAAATTGTATGGTGGGCCATGAATGCTCAGAAATTGGGGGTAGTGGTGAAGGAGAGGGTGAGTGCTCCGGATTGGGGGGGGGGCTCTAGGATGGGGCCAGAAATTAGGAGTTCAGAGTGTGAGGGGGGCTCCGGGCTGGAGCAGGGGGTGGGTTGAGGGGTTTGGGATGCAGTAGGGTGCTCCAAGCTGGGACTGAGGGGTTCGGAGGGCGGGAGGGGGAAATCAGGGTTGGGGCAGGGGGTGAGGGCTCTGGTCTAGGGCCATGGATGAGGGGCTTGGGGTGGACAGGAGGGGAATCTGGACTGGGATCAAGGGGTTTGGAGGGCGGGAGGGGGATCAGGGCGGGGCTCCAGGCAGCGCTTGCCTCAAGCATTTCCCGGAAGCAGCAGCATGTCCCCCCTCTGGCTCCTACGCGGAGTAGCGGCCAGGCAGCTCTGCGCACTGCCCTGTCCAAAGGCGCTGCCCTTGCAACTCCCATTGGCCAGGAACCGCAGCCAAAGGGAGGGGCGGGGATAGCGTGCGGAGCCCCCTGGCTGCTCCTATGCGTAGGATGGGGGACATGTTGGCACATTCCTGGGAGCCGCGCCAAGAGGGGCAAGCCCCCAACCCCACTCCCCGGTGGGAACTTGAGGGCCAGATTAAAAGGTCTGACCAGCTGTAGTTCGCCCACCCCTGCCATAAAGGATCAGGTAGATATTATTTTCACCCTCTCCTAGCAGGGAGCTTTTCAGAATGGCTAAAAACATATTAGTATCATTATTCTACAAATGATAGCAGAGAAAGGGAACAGAAAATATTTTTCTTCTTTTAATCCCATTGATTTATAAAGAACAATTAAGTTATTTTATAATGTATACTATATAAATGTATAGTTGATCTACTAATCATGCGGCTGTACAGTGCTTTATAAGCATCTTTGTACATAAACTCTTCTTTTAAGAGTGGTTCTCTAGAAATATGACTCTGCAAATATCATTATGGGGTTCCACAGAGGGAGCAAATCTGTGGAGTAAGGAGCAAGCATTTTTAACTAGCCACTTTTCATTGTACAATCATTGTACTGTCTCACTACCTAAAGTTTCACTGTACAGTCTTATCATAAGGATTTACTCCAATACAGACATTAAAATGTTTGCTGATTGAAAGTTGGCAGACAAATTCTCAGCGTGGGAGAATTATTGCCTTCAACAGTAAAACATTCAGTTTGGCTATTTTTTCAAAATTATATTTGTATGTAACAATCAAAATGTTTATATAGCTCAAAAGTGTTTCAATTTTGAAACTAAAAAGTACATGCCATTAATTCATTAAAAAACAAAATAATTATCCTGTTTAGAAACATGCAATTTCTTTAATCTAAGCATTTATAAAGATTTTAACATGTACAGTAGTAGAGATACACCTCACTGATAGGTGTGTATAGTTCTAATGAATCATTTTATCAATTTTTTTTAAATCTACTTTTAAAATGTTAAATATGGATCCGCAGATCAATCCTTCACTCCTTATAACAGCAAACTCAAGAGTTTTCCCCAAGTAAGGAGTGCATTTGGCCCTTAAACGGTCAGCAAGGCCTACTACTAACAAAGGTGCATGTCCAAAAGCAACAAACTTACAGTACTGAAATGCATATCTACCTAGGACACAATAGAAGATCTAAAGGAACTGGTAATACTCACTAGTTAAGTAATACATATTAATTTGTACTAGGCAAAGAGCCTATTTGGAGGGAGGTAGGCTGGTATGGAGAGACATAATTGTCTTTGTCCATGAAGGTCTAGCCAGGTTGAAGGCGTATTACACTCTCACAGTCCTTGGGAGGCAGGCCAGTCCTCACTTACAGACAGCCCCCCAACCTGAAGCAAATACTCACCAGCAACTACATACCACACCACAGAAACACTAACCCAGGAACCAATCCCTGTAACAAACCCCGTTGCCTACTCTGTCCCCATATGTACTCTAGCGACACCACCAAAGGACCCAACCACATCAGCCACACCATCAGGGGCTCATTCACCTGCATATCTACTAACGCGATATATGCCATCATGTGCCAGCAATGCCTCTCTACCTTGTACATTGGCCAAACCGGACAGTCTCTATGTAAAAGAATAAATGGACACAAATCAGACATCAGGAACGGTAACACACAAAAGTCAGTAGGAGAACACTTCCATCTCCCTGGACATTCAACAACAGAGTTAAAACAAAACAAAAAAACCTTCAAAAACAGACTTCAAAGAGAAACTGCAGCGCTACAACTCATTTGCAAACTTACCACCATTAATTTGGGCTTGAATAGGGACTGGGTGGTTCACTACGAAAGCAATTTTCCCTCTCTTGGTATTGACACTTCCTCATCAATTATTGGGAGTGGATCACATCCACCCTGACTGAATTGGCCTGGTCAACACTGGTTCTCCACTTGTAAGGTAACTCCCTTCTCGTCATGTGCCAGTATATATATTTATGCCTGTATCTGTAATTTTCACTCCATGCATCTGAAGAACCCACGAAAGTTTATGCCCAAATAAATCTTAGTCTTTAAGGTGCCACCAGCCTCCTTGTTGTTTTTGTGGCTACAGATGAACATGGTTACCCCTCTGATACTTTACACTATTTATGATCTTGTAACCTGTACAGCCACCCAAGAAATAAACGGTTAATTCCATTCCTGGAGCAGATACCTTTTACCATATCAGCTCAGAAGTTAGAATACTTGCTATCCAATGAAAGCGTGTCAAGTCATATGGACTGCTGCCCTATTTGTCTGGTCAGACATAAAAATATGAAAATAGTATGTGAAAGTTAGGCTACTTTTGACCAAAAGGAAATAGTGTTCTAATATATTTCTCTTGTTTTTGTATATCATTTTAGTGGTGCTGATGTTAGGGAAGGGTTAATCTTGCATATTAATTTGTGTTTCTAAAATTTGTATCTGGTTTTTTGAGTTGTTGATTTAAAAATTATATCTACTGTATTATGTGCAGTGGCCTATGACTCAAACACTACATTAATAAAAACTAAACTGAATCTGTAAACTGTGATACTGGGCAACTGTTTATCCTTTTAAAAAGTCTAGTACTATCAGGATAGTGAAATTGTTTACTTAATAAACTGGCTTATAAAGGAAGTAACAGATTTTAAACTTTTATTAGTTTTTTTTAAATTAAAATTACAGAACTTTGACAAAGTTAATACACATGTACTACAATTAGATAATGCTAATGAGCATAGTAAAAGTAAGTAAATGGACGAATAGTATTGAGGTTGTAACATAAACCAGCCAAAGTCAGATTATCAAAGTTCACACTCACAAAACATCCTTAACCCACACTATTTTTTCCTCAGAATACAATGAATTAAACAACTGAATGCCATGGAAACCTTAATGTTGGTGTTTGGGTTTTTTGTTTTCTAACTCTGAATTTAAATAAAAAGTAGGGCGGATAACAGTTCAACCTCACATTCTGACCTAAACTCACACTATTCTTTCCCCAGGACATCATGAATTAAAGGTTTGAATTTTTAATTTCATGGAAACCTAAACATTCTTTAAATATATATTTTTAGTTTTTAGTCTGTGAATATAAATACAGTGCATGAGGGGGAGGAAAGACCTGGAGAATCTGCTGCATACAAGAGACTGAAGCACTATTCCCAGAAGCACACCTGGTGCCAAGAATCAGTATCACCGTGATTAACAGTACTCTGACCTACCAGAGCAATGGGGGAGAATTGTTTATAAACTTTTATTTTGGGGACAGCAAAAACAGAAAAGAATCTGCCCACTCCTTCTTGAGCTAGCTCCACTGCATTTGATTGGTAGTACCATGCTGCAGGAAAGCTTAATGTAATGTTGCAGCATTGCAGCTAGAGTAGCCTGTGGTCATCAAGCACTTGTGTAAAGGAAGCAAATAATTTTGCTCATGTCTTTAAATTATAAATAGCCAGATAGGAACAACAGGAATATAAGTGTGTCCACAGACATACAGAATACACATATGCACACAGGAACTATATGTATATACACGTGTGCACACACGGACTGCACAATAAATAAATGCCCTCAATTTTTCAGACAGATAAACAGTCAAGGGTTGTAAATATAAACGAAGTGTTATATGCATTATGTCAACATCATTTCTTTATTTTGAGCTATCCCTTTATACATGAGGAAACCAATTTCAAACCACAAATTAATGCTCTACAAACACTGGAACGTCAACTGTTTAGAGAGTACCGTGGAATGTTACAGATTTGTGACAGCATCCCACAGTATAGCGATTAATGCACTGTCTCCTTGAAAGAAAACTGTCAATAGTGTGGAACATTCTTCAGAAATATTCCTCCTTCCATCAATGCAGCATGTAAGAAAATCATAATGGCTAAAACACAGTCATAAAACACTTTCACTATCTTCTTATAAATAATATATATCAGTTGCCAGGGTGAAATACTATTTTAGTCTTCACTCATTAGGGTGACCTACTCACTGATTCTGGGTTGTTACACGTGAATGATGTGCTTATACTAACACATAAAAGATGTTTGTTTCACCCCAGGAGTTGATTATTATGGAACCACTGGTAGTGGCTTCATAGTTAAGGCTCAGTCAGTATACTGGCTGAGGTTGGCCATTAAATTGCAAAATTAAAATTTACAGGTCTTATCTTTAGAGCCCTGTGCATATACAAAATTTGTGTCCGCTTCTGATCCGCAAACATGGTCTGCGGCTATAAAGCAGAGAGTAAACCAATATGGCTAAATAACAAGGTTCAAGAGGGTATTTGAGTCAAAAAGAAATCCTTCAAAATTTGTAAATCTAACCCTAATGAAGCCAATGAACAGGAACAGTAGGCAATATACGAGAAAGAAATGAAAAGAGACAAAAAGGATTTTGAAGAGCAAATAGCTGAAGATGTAAAAATAAACAAGAGAGTCTAAGTATATCAGAAGCTAGAAGCCTGCAGAAGAATAGGTGGCATGAAAGGCCAAGCCCGAGGAGGGAGGAAGTTGGTTTAAGTTTATGCTTTTAGTTTGGGATTTCGTTGGAGGATTCCAGAGGAGGGTGAATACAGTGATGCTGTGGGGAGAAGGTCTGCTAAAAGGTTATGATAGGAAGAAGCCAAGGGAAATAGCAGGCATAGATATGAATAGACAGATCTTGCCTGCTCACTACAGGATCCCTGGTCTTGAACCCAGAAATGGGTGGGCTTGGGTTTCCTTACTAGCCACCAGGGGAAGGTGGTGTGAAGGTGCCCCTAATAATAAGGGGATAAAGGACAGTCAAAACCCTGAGTCTAGACAGCACAAGGCCTACAGGGCTCAGAGTCAAAGCCGAAGACCTTTTGTAAGAGCACGGGACTGTTTATTTGTGGGACACTTATCTCAGAAGGGGTGGATTTGAACGTGACCTGGCTGGAGGGCTGAATTACAAGGAAAGAGACAACCATCAACAGGGGGTGCCAGATGGGGAACAAGTCTGCTATGCTACATGCAGCTGCAGGGAGAACGCCAAATGTTGAGTACACTCTTTCACAATTCACAAGACTGAGGACTGAAAGGAGCTTCAAAGAGATTAAACGAAGTGAATGGGCACCACCACAACAAATGAAGTTCTTGAATTTATCAAAATTGGTCATGCAAATTGGAGGAGAAAAAATTAAACTACTCAGACAACATATAAGATTCTCAATGAACTGTATCAGCTCAGAAAAGGGACCGCAGCATCACCGTAGACAGCTCAATTAAGACCTCGGCTCAACACACAGCTGTAGTCAAACAAAGCTAAGATGTTAGGATGCATATGAAATGGGATGGGGTACAATACAGAAAATATTATTAATGCTGTTATATAAATCAATGATACTGCCTCATCTGGATCACTGATACTGGTGACCCCATCACAAAAAGGATATTGCAGAATTCAATAGGGTTCTAAGGATGACTGAGGACATGAAAACCTCATATGAAGAGAGACTGAAAATAGCTCAAGAACAAGGGGATAGAAAATGAAAATAAAGGGCAGGAAATTAAAAATGATAAAACAATACATATTTATGACAGTGGAATTCACTGCCATGAAAACACTTAGGCCAAGATCATAGAAAAATCCAAAAGAGAACTGGATATTTGTATGAATATTGAGAATTCCCAGAATTATTATAATTAATGACAAAATTTCAGGGCTTAAGTAAAGAGATGGTTTGTATAGCTATCATCTTTGGAAACTCATCCTAGGATCTGAAAGTTATGTTGGGGTCTTCCTTCTCACACATCATCATCAGCAGTACAAGTTCTACAAGCCAAGTCACGCCCCAGACATATCCATGCAACCACATTATTTTCACACTGTGCTTTCAATGTTGCCTAGACACGTTCAGTGTGTTTACTGGGTTTCCAAGGGTGTAACTGACTGGAACTTTGCAAACAATTTGGTTGATTTTAAAGAATGTATTCACCTCACTCTCTGATCTGAAAGTTAAGAATCTGCCATTTTTACATAGTCCCTTTGAAGAGCACAACTGTACTTAAAGCAATGTACTTATTTCTTTTTCTTCTTTGGGTCACTGCACCCACACCATCTATATTTGGGGCTGTGTTTTTCCACAGCCACTCAACTAATTTTTCCATTATTTCTCCCATCCCACTCTGTTTCTGCAACTTAATGGGATCTGCTTCTTTCTACCAAGTACATTTTGTTCCCCAAATGTACTAATCTTGAATTTTCATCAGCTCATCAAAACATGTCCATTCGGGTGTTGCCTCAAAGTTCTTTGCATATTTTCTTCATGAGAAAATGAGAAGCATTTTCAAACTCAAACAAGAAATAGTTACTTTATTTATGCTGATGTGTGCAGTCACAATTAATTTGACAAGGACATGCCTGAAAGATTGTTCTGCCATATCCTCTTCTAATATCAACTTGACCAATTCCTGACAAGACAGACTGACTCCCTACCAGCTCAGTTCTAGCACTTCATCTGAATGTATTATTTGGGGACATACAACTTTCTCTACAAAAGAAAGTTGTCTTGAGGAAGAGCAGAGAGATTGGCATTAAGGTGCTGGCTCTCTGGACTGTAGAAAGGTGGGTGTTAAGGTACAATATTACTGATGTTCTTATACTGTGCCCAACACTTTGGTATCTGAGTGCCTACTGAAGACTAAATCAGGCGTGAAGCCTGCTTGGTTTTCTTTCAGCTGGGCAGTCTGATAATCTTAAACAAAATACCTTACAGTTAAGGTTGTTCTAGCAATTTACATACACACAAAAAAGAACAGTACTATACAAAACCTAAGCATTAAGAAATACTGAAGAAGCCAGTTAGGATTGTTTACGTAAATATCCCATTACCCTTACAGTTCATACATTCAGGTAACAACAACACTGACATATAAAAATTCAGTTTACATAATCCACAAATTATCTTAATCATAATCAAAAAGGCATACGTCTGAACTCTTTCAACAAATGCATCAATAATTTACTGTCAGTCTAGTATGTATACAGTTGATGTACACGAGGTAAGGGTTTGTAAGTGTGTGGTCTGTTAGTTTAATATGGGGATTGTTTTCATTTAATGTCACATGCCCAGATGCTACTATGATGATTACATTAAAATAATTAAATAAAGTGATAAAACGGAAAGATCTGAAATAAGTGCAAAGGGAATACCTAAAACACTAGCCACGTCTATTCCTTCTTTGTAAATAGCCTTTTCTTTTAAAGTTGCTTCAGTGTGGAAGTTCCTACCTTAAAATGGGCAAAATGTAGTTGAAGTTTTGTATTTCTACAGCTATCCCTCCCTCGGGGGGAGGGATAGCCCAGTTGTTTGAGCATTGGCCTGCTAAACCCAGGGTTGTGAATTCAATCCTTGAGGGGGCCATTTAGGGATCTGGGGCAAAAATTGGGGATTGGTCCTGCTTTGAGCAGGGGGTTGGACTAGATGACCTCCTGAGGTCCCTTCCAACCCTGATATTCTATGATTCTATGCTGAACCACATATGCATTATACCAACACATAGATAAAAACAAACTGTACAGTATACCTGTTGTCATGGTATCTGTGGGGATGATGTTGCAGAACATCTTGCAGGAAACGCTCCATCAGGGTGGTGGTACCTGTGCGATTCCTGCAGTACATGGTGAAATGTCTGTGCTGGGAACTGAAAACATGCTGAAAAGACAGAAACCACATCACTAGCTTGGTATCCTAACCGACTAAGGGATCTATCCAGGAAGGTAGCTTTCATCTTCTAAGTTTCAAATTCTCCATGTTGCAATGAAAAATGTTGAAAAACAATTTTTCCTCCTCTTCTAGACTTTAAGGACCTGATTCAGGAAGGTACTTCAGCAGATGCCTAACTTTAAAGCCAATGGGTAGTCATTAGGACTACTCATGCACTCAAAATTGGGCATGTGTGTTAAGCATCTTGAAGAACTGAAGCATAATTAACAGCTTCCAAAAATGTGCATATATCTTACAGCATCTGTTGTGCTTGGTACACAGTCTCTACAAATGATGATGGGAAAAATAACTTCTTAACTTCAGATGTTCAGGAAATATAAACCCATAACGCAACGGGAACACACCTTTAAATTATCTGTAACCCAATACAGAGGTAGATGAAGACCAAACAGATTCCTGCTATTTGATTATCATTGGCCCACAAGACAACAAACACTTTCAGACCATGGTAGAGTTAAAGAACAGGGAAAAAAATATCAAATACTCATGTCCTTAGGATATGCAATGCAGTTTATATATTGAACATATTCATACTGCTAGCTCATATTACATAGTGATTCTAGGAATGAAGACATTCCCCTTGAAAAAGCTTAGTAGGTGCAAAACAAAGCAGCCTGTAAGCTTAGCAACACAGGCTGCAGAGAACAATCACCCCTCTGCTCCACTCTTTGCACTCGGCTCCCCATTAAACACAGAGCTTAGTTCAAGGTCTCTGTCCTTGTCTGGAACGAGTTACCTGACAGAGACCTTTCACTCTACAACTGTGACAGCTACGCTCCACATAATGAAACTGTCTACCAACAGTGCATGACTGTATCACAGGAGCTGGACCAAGACTATGGAACCCAAGGTCACAAAAGAATTGCCACAGGTTTCACCGCTTTCAGAAGTAAATTCACAACTCATTTCTTTCACTTAGCTTTTCTTCAGTCAGTTTCTCTCTCTCACACACACACATTATATATTTTAAAATCCCACAAACTAATCAAATAACTTCTCCTACAGCCTAAAAAGGAAGAAAAAAAATAAAGAAATGGACATTTCTATTTTTAAAAATCTGGGAGGTGCTCAGATACTAAGGTAATTGGAGCCTAATAAGCACATAATATGATAGATTCCTATGATGTAACCACCCATGATAGAAAAAACTATCAAAATGGTTATGTTCCATTCAGTACTGACTTTAAAAAAAGATGCTCAATATTAGAGATTGACACATTTGAACAAGCTGGTCAGGCAACACTACCGAGAGCCCGTTATTTCAACCATCTCTTAATACAGGACGTGATGATGTGAGAATTAGAGAGATGAAAAACAGATGCAGTGGGGGCAAAAGATCTATCTGGCTTTAAGATTAAACTCAATAAGTTTATGGAGGAGATGGTATGATGGGATAAAATGATTTTGGTAATTAATTGATCTTTAAATATTCATGGTAAATAGGCCTAATGGCCTGTGATGGGATGTCAGATGGGGTGGGAACTGAGTTACCCAGGAAAGAATTTTTTGTAGTATCTGGCTGGTGAATCTTGCCCATATGCTCAGGGTTTAGCTGATCGCCACATTTGGGGTCGGGAAGGAATTTTCCTCCAGGGCAGATTGGAAGAGGCCCTGGAGGTTTTTCGCCTTCCTCTGTAGCATGGGGCACGGGTCACTTGCTGGAGGATTCTCTGCTTCTTGAAGTCTTTAAACCACGATTTGAGGACTTCAATAGCTCAGACATAGGTGAGAGGTTTTTCGCAGGAGTGGGTGGGTGAGATTCTGTGGCCTGCGTTGTGCAGAAGGTCGGACTAGATGATCATAATGGTCCCTTCTGACCTCAGTATCTATGGATTTCCTACTCTGCTGCAAATGTCTTACCTGTTCAAGATTGCTGTAGTGCACGTGGCAGCAGTTGCAATAGCCTTGTCTATTTTGCACACTGGATAACCCAGGTCCAGCCTGCTCTGGCTCTCGTATGCTTACACTGACGGAAGAAAAGTTTACTGATATTACTAGTAGTTTTCAGTGAGAAAAATCAGACTTATAAAATGTATTATATTTCAGGTGTTTAATAAAACATTAAGACTTATACTATCAAAAATGTATTTTTTCATATTCTAGCATAATCGTTTAGATGGATTTATGGTGCTGAGCTTAAAATCCACTCATGCTGCTGAAGTGTTAAAGTTTTTCCTGAATACCATATGCAAACCTAAAAAGAAAGCCAGTCACGTATAGCAAGAATTCACCATACACTCTCAAGCACTCATGATATTATGCATACAATTTAAAAAATAAAAGATTCTTCCCTCAGAATACTTCAGGGAAGTTTTGCAAAAAGAATGCAGGGGCTACAGAAATTACCAAGTTTCAGAGTAGCAGCTGTGTTAGTCTGTATCCACAAAAAGAAAAAGGAGTACTTGTGGCACCTTAGAGACTAACCAATTTATTTGAGCATAAGCTTTTGTGAGCTACAGCTCACTTCATCGGATGCATTCAGTGGAAAATACAGTGGGGAGATTTATATACACAGACAACATGAAACAATGGGTGTTACCATACACACTGTAACGAGAGTGATCACTTAAGATGAGCTATTACCAGCAGGAGAGCGGGGGACGGGACCTTTTGTAGTGATAATCAAGGTGGGCCATTTCCAGCAGTTGACAAGAACGTCTGAGGAACCGGGGGGGGGGGGGGGGGAATAAACATGGGGAAATCGTTTTACTTTGACCCATACACTCCCAATCTCTATTCAAGCCTAAGTTAATCGTATCCAGTTTGCAAAGTAATTCCAATTCAGCAGTCTCTCGTTGGAGTCTGTTTTTGAAGTTTTTTTGTTGAAGAATTGCAGCTTTTAGGTCTGTAATGTAGGTAGGAATAGCAGTCAGTCGGTTTCTTGTATAGGGTGGTGTCTGTGACCATTGCCTATTAGCACCAAACACCTACAAGATCTGGACAAACTGTCAAACTGGACAGTCTCTACATAAAAGAATAAATGGACACAAATCAGACGTCAAGAATTATAACATTCAAAAACCAGTCGGAGAACACTTCAATCTCTCTGGTCACTCGATTACAGACCTAAAAGTTGCAATTCTTCAACAAAAAAAATGTCAAAAACAGACTCCTAAAAGAGACTGCTGAATTGGAATTAATTTGCAAACTGGATACAGTTAACTTAGGCTTGAACAGAGACTGGGAGTGGATGTCATTACACAAAGTAAATCTATTTCCCCATGTTTATTATCCCCCCCCCCCCCCCCCGCCACTGTTCCTCAGATGTTCTTGTCAAGTGCTGGAAATGGCCCACCTTGATGATCACTAAAAAGGTTCCCCCCCACCCCCCCTGCTGGTAATAGCTCACCTTACCTGATCACTCTCGTTACAGTTTGTATGGTAACACCCATTGTTTCATGTTCTCTATGTATATAGGTTTCAGAGGAACAGCCGTGTTAGTCTGTATTCGCAAAAAGAAAAGGAGTACTTGTGGCACCTTAGAGACTAACCAATTTATTTGAGCATGAGCTTTCGTGAGCTACAGCTCACTTCATCAGATGTATACCGTGGAAACTGCAGCAGACTTTATATACACACAGAGAATATGAAACAATACCTCCTCCCACCCCACTGTCCTGCTGGTAATAGCTTATCTAAAGTGATCAACAGGTGGGCCATTTCCAGCACAAATCCAGGTTTTCTCACCCTCCACCCCCCCCCACAAATTCACTCTCCTGCTGGTGCTAGCCCATCCAAAGTGACAACTCTTTACATAATCAAGTCGGGCTATTTCCTGCATAGATCCAGGTTTTCTCACATCCCCCCCACCCCCATACACACACAAACTCACTCTCCTGCTGGTAATAGCTCATCTAAACTGACCACTCTCCAAGTTTAAATCCAAGTTAAACCAGAACATCGGGGGGGGGGGGGGGGTAGGAAAAAACAAGAGGAAACAGGCTACCTTGCATAATGACTTAGCCACTCCCAGTCTCTATTTAAGCCTAAATTAATAGTATCCAATTTGCAAATGAATTCCAATTCAGCAGATTCTCGCTGGAGTCTGGATTTGAAGTTTTTTTGTTTTAAGATAGCAACCTTCATGTCTGTGATTGCGTGACCAGAGAGATTGAAGTGTTCTCCGACTGGTTTATGAATGTTATAATTCTTGACATCTGATTTGTGTCCATTTATTCTTTTACGTAGAGACTGTCCAGTTTGACCAATGTACATGGCAGAGGGGCATTGCTGGCACATGATGGCATATATCACATTGGTGGATGTGCAGGTGAACTAGCCTCTGATAGTGTGGCTGATGTTATTAGGCCCTGTGATGGTGTCCCCTGAATAGATATGTGGGCACAATTGGCAACGGGCTTTGTTGCAAGGATAAGTTCCTGGGTTAGTGGTTCTGTTGTGTGGTATGTGGTTGTTGGTGAGTATTTGCTTCAGGTTGCGGGGCTGTCTGTAGGCAAGGACTGGCCTGTCTCCCAAGACTTGTGAGAGTGTTGGGTCATCCTTTAGGATAGGTTGTAGATCCTTAATAATGCGTTGGAGGGGTTTTAGTTGGGGGCTGAAGGTGACCGCTAGTGGCGTTCTGTTATTTTCTTTGTTAGGCCTGTCCTGTAGTAGGTAACTTCTGGGAACTCTTCTGGCTCTATCAATCTGTTTCTTTACTTCTGCAGGTGGGTATTGTAGTTGTAAGAAAGCTTGACAGAGATCTTGTAGGTGTTTGTCTCTGTCTGAGGGGTTGGAGCAAATGCGGTTGTATCGCAGAGCTTGGCTGTAGATGATGGATCGTGTGGTGTGGTCAGGGTGAAAGCTGGAGGCATGCAGGTAGGAATAGCGGTCAGTAGGTTTCCGGTATAGGGTGGTGTTTATGTGGCCATTGTTTATTAGCACTGTAGTGTCCAGGAAGTGGATCTCTTGTGTGGACTGGACCAGGCTGAGGTTGGTGGTGGGATGGAAATTGTTGAAATCATGGTGGAATTCCTCAAGGGCTTCTTTTCCATGGGTCCAGATGATGAAGATGTCATCAATATAGCGCAAGTAGAGTAGGGGCTTTAGGGGACGAGAGCTGAGGAAGCGTTGTTCTAAATCAGCCATAAAAATGTTGGCATACTGTGGGGCCATGCGGGTACCCATAGCAGTGCCGCTGATCTGAAGGTATACATTGTCCCCAAATGTGAAATAGTTATGGGTAAGGACAAAGTCACAAAGTTCAGCCACCAGGTTAGCCGTGACATTATCGGGGATAGTGTTCTTGACGGCTTGTAGTCCATCTTTGTGTGGAATGTTGGTGTAGAGGGCTTCTACATCCATAGTAGCCAGGATGGTGTTATCAGGAAGATCACCGATGGATTGAAGTTTCCTCAGGAAGTCAGTGGTGTCTCGAAGGTAGCTGGGAGTGCTGGTAGCGTAGGGCCTGAGGAGGGAGTCTACATAGCCAGACAATCCTGCTGTCAGGGTGCCAATGCCTGAGATGATGGGGTGCCCAGGATTTCCAGGTTTATGGATCTTGGGTAGTAGATAGAATATCCCAGGTCGGGGTTCCAGGGGTGTGTCTGTGCAGATTTGATCTTGTGCTTTTTCAGGAAGTTTCTTGAGCAAATGCTGTAGTTGCTTTTGGTAACTCTCAGTGGGATCATAGGGTAATGGCTTGTAGAAACTCGTGTTGGAGAGCTGCCGAGCAGCCTCTTGTTCATATTCCGACCTATTCATGATGACAACAGCACCTCCTTTGTCAGCCTTTTTGATTATGATGTCAGAGTTGTTTCTGAGGCTGTGGATGGCATTGCGTTCCGCATGGCTGAGATTATGGGGCAAGTGATGCTGCTTTTCCACAATTTCAGCCCGTGCACGTCGGCGGAAGCACTCTATGTAGAAGTCCAGTCTGCTGTTTCGACCTTCAGGAGGAGTCCATCTAGAATCCCTCTTTCTGTAGTGTTGGCAGGGAGACCTCTGTGGATTAGTATGTTGTTCAGAGGTATTTTGGAAATATTCCTTGAGACGGAGACGTCGAAAATAGGATTCTAGGTCACCACAGAACTGTATCATGTTCGTGGGGGTGGAGGGGCAGAAGGAGAGGCCCCGAGATAGAACAGCTGCTTCTGCTGGGCTGAGAGTATAGTTGGATAGGTTAACAATATTGCTAGGTGGGGTGAGGGAACCATTGCTGTGGCCCCTTGTAGCATGTAGTAGTTTAGAAAGTTTAGTGTCCTTTTTCTTTTGTAGAGAAGCAAAGTGTGCATTGTAAATGGCTTGTCTAGTTTTAGTAAAATCCAGCCACGAGGAAGTTTGTGTGGAAGGTTGGTTCTTTATGAGAGTATCCATTTTTGAGAGCTCATTCTTAATCTTTCCCTGTTTGCTGTAGAGGATCTTGATCAGGTGATTCCGCAGTTTCTTTGAGAGCGTGAGGCACAAGCTGTCAGCATAGTCTGTGTGGTATTTTCCACTGAATGCATCCGACGAAGTGAGCTGTAGCTCATGAAAGCTTATGCTCAAATAAATTTGTTAGTCTCTAAGGTGCCACAAGTACTCCTTTTCTTTTTAGAAATTACCAAAGCACTCTTTCTGCCTTGAAGAACTTGTATAACCGTACAGATTACGCAGGGACCCACATGTGTTTACAACAAGTTTATAGTCATAACCCCACTATTTATAGATGGTATTGGCCAGAGATAATTATAAAAATTAAAGAAATAAAGATAATGAGAGATTAAATCATCACCCAAAAATAACTATGAAATGTAACTTGAAATGTAAGTGCTGAATGCTCTCAGGTCACAAAAGATGTTTTTAATGAAGCAGATTAAATGAACTCCTGAATATTTTCCATCGTATAAATGTCAAGAAAGTTGATATGATTTAGATTTATATGTCAAAATGACTGCCATGCTGTGGGAAGTGAAAACCATACTTCTCCTGAAGAGTAGGAACACTATTGAGGAGAAAAAAATCAAACGAATGCACAGGATGTTGCTGTGTGGGAGCATGAAAAAATGAAGAAACTATTTAAAATTAATACTGTGTTGAATACCCATATTGCCACTGCAATTTGTGAATATTTGCAGTTCACTTTTAATCTGCAAAAGTGCCATCAAGCACCTTCTAAAGACTTAAGAAAGAGGTCAAGAGAGAAGACAAGGAAGAGAAGGGGAGAAAATGTGGAAAGAAGGGAAGAATGAAAAGGAGGAATGAAGAAGAGGAAAGGACAGTGTCCATCAGACAAAATCTCGAATTATATGTGGTCCACACTATAAAAAAGTTTGAGAAGCCTTGGCTTAGGGAGTTAAATAATAGCAGAGAGAGAAATCAAGAGATAACAGAAGTGGGGAAAGATACATTTTCAGAAGAGATTGAAATGAGATGGAGAATTGATGAAGAAAAACAATATCAGAACACTGGTGCAGCCAGCAGCTGCAGAGGAGGGGTTCTGACAGTGGCAAAAATGTGCAGCAAGACATGGAGGCAGCCAGTTCAGAGGGGAATAAAAAGACATGGTCCCATAAAATAGGCTGCAGTGAGCCCTTGAAGGATTTTAATTAAAAGGAAGACAATTTTGATCTGAACTGTACAATGAATGGGAAGCCAATGGAGTTGTTTAAGGAGTGTAAGAAAATAAGGTAAGAATGGCCATACTAGGTCAGACCAATGGCCCACCTAGCCTAGTATGCTGTCTTCAGACAGTGGCCAGTGCCGAAGAAAACAAATAGTATAGGGCAATTTTGAGCGATCTATCCCCCTGTAATCTAGTCCCAACTTCTGGCAGATGAAGTTCTTATGGAACCCTGGGGCATAGGGTTGCACCCCTGACCATCTTGGCTAATAGGTTCATGGAGGTTAGGTCCATCAATGGCTATCTAATTCTTTTTTTAATCCAGTTACACTTTTGGCCTTCACAACAACCCCTGCCAACAAGTTCCACAAGTTGACAGAGTTGTGTGAGGAAGTATTTTCTTTTGTTTTAAACCTGCTACATGTTAACTTCATTGGGTGACCCATAGTTCTTGTGTTATATGAAGGGGTAAATAACACTTTACTATTCAGTTTCTCCATACCATTCATGATTTTATAGACCAGTATCATATCTCCACTTAGCTGTCTCTTTTCTAAGATGAAAAATCTCATTCTTTTTAATCTCCCTTAATATGGAAGCTGTTCCATGCTCCTAACAATTTTTGTTGCCCTTCTCTACACCTTGTCCAATTCTCATATATCTTTTCTAAGACTGAGTGACCCGAACTGCACGCAGTATTCAAGGTGTGGGCTTACCATAAATTTATAAAGTGATATCATATTTTCTGACTTATTATCTATCACTTTCCTAATGGCTCCTAACATTCTGTTAACTTTTTTCACTGCTTCTGTAAATTGAGCAGATGTTTACAGAAAATTATCCATTATGACTCCAAGATCTCTTTCTTAAATGGTAACAGGTAATTTAGAAAACATCATTTTATAATGTATAATTGGGATTATGCTTTCCAATATGCATTACTTTCACTTATCAACACTGAATTTTATCTGCCCTTTTGTTACACAGTCACCAGTTTTGTGTGATCCCTTTGTAACTCTTAGTTAAGTCCAAAGCTGACTTCAATCTTGAGTAATTCTGTATCATCTGCAAATTTTCCCACCTCACTTTTCACCTCTTTTTCCAGATAATTTATGAATATGTTGAACAGCACAAGTCCCAGTACAGATCCTTGGGGGACACTGCTACTTACCTCTCTCCATTGTGAAGACTGACCATTTATTTCTACCCTTTGTCTCCTATCTTTTAACCTGTTACTGATCCATTAGAGGATGCTCCCTCTTATCCCACGGCTGCTTAGTTTGCTTAAGAGCTTTTGGTGACGGACCTTCTCAAAGGCTTTCTGAAAGTCCAAGTACACTATACCCACATGCTTGCTGACAACCTCAAAGAATTCTAATAGATTGTAAAGGCATGCTTTCCCTTTACAAAAGCCATGTTGACTCTTCACCAACGCATCATATTTATCTATGTATCCGATAATTCTGTTCTTTACTACAGTTTTAACCAATTTGCCTGGTACTTTACTAGTACACAGAGTTTCTCCTTTAATAAACTCATCCATTAGGGATTTCTCTGCTTGAATCGCATGCTCCTCTGCACATGTCAGCTTCCCTCCAGTCCTGAGTTTAATAAAACCTCTACAACCTTTTAAAATTTATACTCCAGCAACCTGGTTCCATTTTGGTTTAGGTGGAGCTCATACTGCCTGCACAGGCTCCTCCTTTACCAAAAGGTTCCCCAGTTCCTAATAAACCTAAAACCTGCCTCCATACATCATCATCTCATCCACACATTGAGACCCTAAAGTCCTGTCTGTCTTTCTGGCCCTGTGCGTGGAACTGGAAGCATTTCAGAGCATGCTATCAAAGAGGTCCTGGACTTTACCCTCTTACCTAGCAGCTTAAATTTGGCCTACAAGAGCTCTCTCCATCCTTTCCCTATGTCACTAGTACCTACATTTACCATGACCACATACTAGAGAAAAGCAGCTGGGATTTGGGGAGGCCACAGAGAAGGAAACAATAATTCAAGCAAAAGAAAATGAAAGCCTGGATAAGAATTTTTTAAGCACTGAAATCGAGGTAATGATATGCACAGGTAGCCCTGCAGAAGAAGGTGACAGAGAGATCTACAGACCTGAGAGATACGGGAACAGAAAGCACAGAGTCAGCAATGACGCAACAATTTTGAACAGAGGAGACAGATGGGAGGTCTGAGCTGAAAATGGAGACGGAAGAGATGCAGCTGGACTTCAGAATTAAACTGAAAAGGTTCAGAATAGAGAGAAGGAGAGGGACTGAGAGCAGAAAAAGATTGCAAAAGCTAGGGATGAGGGGGGAAAAAAAGAGCAAGGGAGACAAAAGTAGCAGCAAAAGAGATAGATTTTTTTAACTTCAGAAATGAAACAATTCCATCCCAGCAATATCAAAATTTCTATATAAAATTCTTATTAGGAAGTACTTTAAAAAAAATCAAAAATCTTTTTAATGTAGCCACAGATAAATGTCATCAGAAACCCTGGCCAGTCTACATGATTATTTTTTAATAAAAAGAGAGGATAACAGGAATTGAAGTCACATTTAAACCTGCTAATCTTGAAACACGACTTTGGGCTACTTGGCTGCTGGGTTTTTTTCAGGTTCTCTGGAATTCTGAAGCCAAACATGAAATTTGCTGACCTTCAATCTCACTGCTGCTATTAATGAGGGCTCAAAGGGCATAACTGCAATGTACATGTTTAATGATACCTATACATAGGATAAAGAGACCATTAACCCTACAGTTGAAAATATTGCATCATCAGTTGTACGGGGTCAAATTTAATGTCAAAAGCTAGATTCTCCCTAGTTCATTTACTGTAAGCAATAAAGTCTGATGCTAATTATATAATCTAACTCACCTGCTATTGCTCTCCTGTTGTAGGGATCCTTCAATACCTCGTCTTTCTATACCTATTTAAAAAGAAAAAGAAAAAAGCAAAAAGATAGAAAACCAGGCAGAAGAAATCAAAACTGCTCATTGTTACCATTGCACTAAGTTGTCAGCGTCAAAAATAATGTGTTTTATAGGACAACAAAAGTAGAATTGATTAAATTTAGGAAAACTTGCATTTATACAGAATCAGTCAGCCCCAAAGAGCTGCATAAACTATAAGCCTTATCTTTTTACAGTTGACATCATTGGGAATTTTTCTATTGACTTAATCGGGACTAAGGTTAGGCCCTGTATGCTGAAATCACTTCACCTGTCACCATAATGCAGTCACCTCTGGAGTAAAACGCAGCAGGTGTTGAACAGTTCACTATAAAACAATTCCTTGCACCTAAAAAGAATTTAAAAGGTCTTTCTTCTATCCTTGACATCTAGGATTCTATGAATTTAGAACAGAATTAGAATAGAATTGACAAACTACTAACCCAACTGAAACAACAAGGGGAACTGACATTTTTACAGTTAAAATAGATGCTTTTTTTGTGTTTTGAAGGTCAATATTTTTGTTTTAATAATTATTTTGCTTACCTTGTGCTGAAAAAGCAGAAGCTTCATCAGTTGGCTTGCTCCTGTCAAACATCTATAAACCAAAGACAAAAACCATTGAAAACAAATATGAAAAGCATAGTCTTGGCTTTTACCCCATTCTCAATGTCAGCATGGCTGAGCCCCAAGAAAATGACATCACTGTGAAAACACAGTACTGTTTCAGATAAGGATTATAATTTAATCTCAACTGAATCTTCATGATCAAAACAAATTCCTGTTTCATTAGATTATTCTACAAATGCCACATACGATCCACTATCCAAAGGCCCAGTCATTGTATGAAGACTTCTTAATCAACCCAAACCTAGAGAGCTGCAGATGCAGGCTTTGCATGCAGCAGGCCAGTTTATTCAAAAGAAAATTATCTGCCAGGGAAGCAAAAAAAACCAAACCAAACCAAAAAAAACCAAACCCAAAATCTAGTGCTTTGGTCATTGTGACAGTGCACACTCACCTCTTGTGTGCGCCTCCCCGTGGGTGAGCAAGAACCTGCACTCTCTTTTTTCGAGGTGCCCCCGGTTGGCTGTTGCCCTTGTCAGGCAGGTCTTCAGCTGGAGGACTAAGTCACACAGTCAAATCCATGAACAAACACTCCTTTTGGGGTAAAAGGTCCAATAGGGCCTGTCCCTGTGCCCTTGGTAATGTCTCCAGCCCTGTCTCTGGGCTCAGTTCTCAGCCCCTTCTGGGCTAGCTTGAAGCCCGTCCCTGCCCTGTTATAGAGTAGTGCCCTCAGGGCATCTTCCCTGGAGACTCTAAGTCCTGCCCTTTACTTGGGCTTTTAAATTAAACTTGTCCCCTTCTTGGGACTTTGGCCACTCTACCAGTGGAGGGAATCTGTGCCCACACACTACTCTGGATCCTGATCCAGGGTCCCTATAAATAGCAGCCACATGGTACTTCCTGTAATAGTTGCTGCTGTTATTCCCTGGGCCACTTCCCACGTAGCAGCTTCTACTTTACCATTTCCTCAGGGCTGAAGTTCTCTGCCTGTTCCCTGCTTGAGTAGGGTCTCTCACAGGCCTCCTCACCTGGAGAGTTTCACAGCCTTCCAAGTCTGCCTCATCCTTTTGGTCCCAGCCAGCAACTGAGCTGCTCACACCTTGCAGCTCCTTTTAGATGAGCCTCCTCCATTCTGATTGGCTGCTTCCCTGCAGCCACTCTAGGCAGGCCTGGAGGACCCACCTTCACTGCTACTTTTCTGGGACAGGGTGCGGTAGGACTGTGAAGTCTCCAGGACACCCTGTCACAGCCACAAACTGTGCAGCTTTAAATCATATACATCTATCTCCTTTTACAAAAGATTTCTATGGAGAGGAACATTTGCACTTTGGTTTTGTACATTAGATCAGGAAATGTCTCCTCCCATAATAGATAAACATTATCCTTATGTATCCAGAACTTAAACTACTTAGTAGGTCAATGCAATGTTCCTGCCAAATTCATTTAATGGCTTAATGGCTTCAGCTACACTTAAAACACAGACCAAAAACCTATACAGTAGAAGCCATGAATGAAATGGAACAAATATGATAATCATCCAGGCTTGAAAAGCTACCTTTATTGCTCAGCATTATCTCCTGATGCCCAATCCACAAACTGATCTAGACAGAAACATGACACTGCAAAAATACCCAACTTCATGTTTTTGTGTCAGGGAATACAAAAGAGCTCCACAGTTTCCCACATTAGGCTTACAATGCTGCAATTGAAACTTAAAATAAACTTTCAGGTACTAACCTTGGTGTTGCCAACCTTTGGCCCCCACCAAAAGCTGATTTCAAGGCTGTTGAACACTCAATCTCAGACAGGAGGCCATTTTCTGCACATAACACTCATCCACTCTCATCTCCACTGGCAATCTGGTAATAATGAAATTAAGGGTCTTTTTAGCTCGTTACTGATGTGTTTGTTCTATATTCTAAAGGAGAAAAGGTTTCAGTCTACATAGAATAGATCTGCCAGCAACTTGGTCCACAAGATGGACAAAGCTCTTTTTAAACATTTTTGTTTAAGAAATTAATTTTGACAGAGCTTCCTTACTAAACGCTGACAGCTTTTTATATATTCCTTAGCATTCCCTGCGCTTTCCCGTATGATGATCTCACTCCTCTTCTCACAGTCCTTATTCAACGTATATTATTAGGATGTTAATGTTCATGCATTTACATGTCTATCAGTAAATGAAATGTAATTCCTAAACATAAAGCAAATTATGCCTTGAGATGATTGTTATGGATAAAGCCACCAACATGCTTTGAAGAATCACTTCTTCTGCTCATATTGTGTAAACCAGCTAAATTAGTAAATTAACTGACCCTCTCACTGCACTTCATATGTTCAAAGCACTTTATAAGTGTTATTAATTTAAACATTTTAACACCAGAGTGAGGTAAGTCCAGTGTGGCTCTTATCTCTCACTTTTCACACTCCAAGGGAGTATCATGGACCAGATGTTCTCACTCACAAAGGGTAGGGTGTAAATTTGTAAGGCCTCAAGCACCACAAATAGCTGTCAGAGAAATATCAGTTTCAGAGAAGATTGTTTGCCAAGATTCTGCTGTATATAGTTGAAGCATGAGAGACAAATATATCCCTAAGACAAGAAGAATGTTTCAGGATATTGGTAGGCAAATTAAAACATTTAAATCCTGATTGCTTACCACCATCCTAAAGGCTGAAAGTATGCTCGGGTCTCAGCTTCAGTAGAGCAAGGGAAAGCTTGTGCTTAGATGCCTTGCGTGGCCCCTACCAAAATCTAGAGATGGGGAAAGGAGCACAAATCCTCGTGCGTTTGGTAATGCAGTCTCATTTAATTTCTAATTTAGCTAAGTCAAAAGGTATTTCTCCACTTGATCCATATTTTTATAATGGGTTCTTTCATCCATAGGCTTTGTAAGAACAACTCTTGTTCAGTTAAGGAATCTCTAAACTTGAAATAGCTCAATGTAACAATAATACAATAATACCAATTACTGCTTAAAAATAAATTACATGTGTATAATCTTCCTTTAAAATAATATTTCAACATTGTAAAAAATCTGTATTATGTTGCAAACATAGTAATGACTAGCATCAACTGAGAATGGTTGATATGGCAGATTTATAACCCATAGGGCTACTGTAGCTGTCTCTTGCAGTTAGAGATAGATATTTCTTGTTTAGTTTTATTGAATTAAATGGCACACAGCAGTCACTGAGCATGAAGAACTGTAAGGAGTCCTGAACAAGTGGAGCTAATGAGAACTGACAGGAGACCAAACGAAAGATGACCATAAGGCAATTAAAAAAAAAAAATCAGCATTTTCATTTCGATAGCACATAAAAATGTCATAGACATCAAAGAAACTCTGGAGACCCCTTTCAGCCTTCCCAGGCAACAGATAAGTTAGAAACAAAAAGGGGCAAAGGGGAGATGATGATCAAAATGACTGAGGGAGGTGGTGTTGTATACATCAAGAATATATACACTTGTTCTGAGGTGCAGAAGGTGGTGAGAAGCAGACCACATTGAAGTCTCCCATTGAAGGGTGAAAATAAAAAGGTGGAAAAAACAGGGGTGATGTCATGGTAGGGGGTCTACGATAGACCATCAAATCAAGAGGAGAAAATGGATAATGCACTTCTAGAACACATAACAGAAATATCCAAAATGCAAGACCTGGTAGTAATGGGGGACTTCAACTCCCCAGACATGTGTTGGAAAAGTAATATATCAAAACACAAAATGTCCAGTAAGTTCTTATAATGTGTTGGGGACAACTTTGTGTTTCAGAAGGTAGAGAAAATGACTTGGGGACAGAGATTTTTGACCTGATTCTGACTAACAGGGAGGAATTGGTTGCGAATCTGAAGGTTGAAAACAATTTGGGTGGAAGTGATAATGAAATGACAGAGTTCATATTTCTAAGAAAAGGAAAGAGTGAGAGCAGCAGAATGACAATGGACTTCAATAAAACAGATTTTAAGAAACTCAGAGAACTGGTAACAAAGGTCCCATAGGAAGAAAATATAAGGGGAAAAGGAGTTCAGGAGAGCTGGCAATTTCTCGAAGAGACAACATTAAAGGTGCAACAGCAAACTACCTCATTGCAAAGGAAAGATATGAAGAATAATGAGGCCAATATGGCTCCATCGGGAACTCTTTAATGACTTGAAAATCAAAAAGGAATCTTACAGAAAGAGGAAACACGGACAAACTGCTAAGGACAAGTACAGCAAAATAGCACAAACATGGAGGGACAAAATCAAAAAGCAAAGGGGCATAAAAGGCAATAAGAACAGGTTCTATAACCACTTTAGGAGCAAAAAAACATGAAGGAAAGTGTAGGTCCTCCACTCAGAGGGAAAGAGAGCTATCAACAGATAACACCAAGAAGGCTGCGGTGTCAGAATGTCTATTTTGCTTCAATCTTCACTAAAATGGCAAATTGTGACCAGATTTTTAACACAATTAATATTAACAAGGGAGAAGGAACACAAGCCAAAATAGGGCAATAAAAGGTTGTAGACCATTTACATAGATAAGTTAGATGCATTCAAGTTGGCAGGACCTCACAAAATTCATCCTAGGATACTGAAAGAACTAGCTGAAGCAATCTTGGAACCGTTACCAATTATCTTTCAGAATACATGGAGTACAGGTGAGGTCCCACGGAGTTAGAGAAGGGCAAACATATGACCTTATCTTTAAAAAGGGGAACAAAGAGGACCTGAGGAGTTATAGACCAGTCAGACGAACTTTGATACCTCAAAAGATACTGGAACAAATGATTAAACAATCAATTTGGAAGTGCCTTGAAGATAATAGAGTTATAAGTAATAGCCACCATGGAATTGTCAAAATCTTGTCAAACCAATCTAATTTCCTTCTTTTGGCATACTGAATAGGGGAAAATGTAGTGTGATATATCTTGATTTTTGTAAAGCTTCAGATAGTCTTATAAGCAAACTAGGAAAAGATAACCTGGAAGAAATTACTTCAAAGTGCAAAACTAGTAGTTACCAAATGGTTCGCTGTCAAGTTGGGAAGACTTATCTAGTGGGGTCCTGCAGGGTTCTGTCCTGGAACTTGTACTATTTAATATTCTCATTAATGACTTAGATAATGGAACAGAGAGTATGCTTATAAAACCTGATGATGACATCAAACTGGGAGGGATTGTAAGCACTTTGAAGGACAGGATTAGAATAGAAGTTGTTTGAAATAAACAAGATGAAATTCAATAAAAACAAGTGCAATGGACAAAGAAAAAATCAAATGCAAAACTACAAAATGGAAAATATTTGGGTAGGCAGTAGTACTGCTGGAAAGGATCTGGGGGTTATAGTGGATCACAAACTGAATATGAGTCAACAATGTGATGCAGTTGCAAAAAGGCTAATATTCTGGGGTGTATTAACAGAAGGATCCTATGTAAGGCCCAGACAGCAACTGTCCCGATATACTTAGCGCCAGTGAGCCCTCCACTGGAGTACTGCATCCAGTTTTGGGCACCAAACTTTAATAACTGGTGGACAAACTGGAGAGTCCAGAGCAGAGCAACAAAAATTTAAAATGGTTTAGAAAACCTGACCTACAAAGAAAGGTTAAAAAATCTGGGCATCTTTAGTCTTGAGACAAGAAGGCTGAGGAAAGACCTGATAAGTCTTAAACTTTATGTGAAGATCTGTTATAAAAAAAAAAGACAGTGATCAATTGTTCTCCAGGTCCACCAAAGGTAGGACAAGAAGTAATCAACAAGGGAGATTTAAGTTAAACATTAGAAAAAAGTTTCCAACTATAAGAACAGTTAAGCACTGGGACAGGCGTCCAAAGGAGGTTCTGGAAACCCCATCATTGGAGTTTTTCAAGAACTAGTTTGACAACCACTATCAAGGATGGTGTAGGTCAGTGATACTCAGACCTCAGTGGTTCAGGAACCAAATTAGCAAACAACATTACCCAAAAGAGCCAGAGTAGTATGACTCTGAAGGTCCCTTCCATTTTTATGGTTTCTATGAAAACTGAAATCTGGTGTTCCAGCTAGGACACCTGAGAACTACCTCTCTTGATCCTCCAGTCTAGGAAACCAAGGAGAAATGGAGGAAAACTCTCTCTTAAAAGGGACCCATCACCTTCCAACAGTATTACCACTACTACCATTATTATTTGTATTACTGTAGTTCCTAGGAGCCCTAATCATGGACCAGACCCCTTTGTGCTAGGAGCTGTAAAAACAAAATAAAGACAAAAACAACGAGGAGTCCTTGTGGCACTTTAGAGACTAACAAATTTGTTTGGGCATAAGCCTTCGTGGGCTAAAACCCACTTCAACAGATGCATGGAGTGGAAAATACCGTAGCAGGTATATATACACAGTACATGAAAAGATGGGAGTTGCTTTAACAAGTGGGGACAGTACCTGTGCCAGAGTTTACAGATTAAGCAATATTTTTTTTTACAGTCAGGTGGTTTCCAAGAGAGGAAATCCAGTTGTGCTTAACAATTTTGGCAGAAATCTACTACCACTAAAGTCTATCTTTCTCACCTCTTGCTCACACCACGTCTTGGTCACACATCATATTTTGGATCCCTTTACAAGCTACCCATCTTACTGTTCACTATTATTGTTAATTTATGGCCCTATATCATTCAGTTCCAGTCTAAATCTCTGATCTTTTCTCCTCTCATTTTCCCAAGGGTGCCTCTTCCCCCCTTTGCTTCCATCCCCCTCCCAATTCCAGGACATCTCCTATGCATGAAATAACCTCCCAACTCCCTAAGCTATCATTCTCTTCTCATTAAAATCCCTAAATTTATTTCTACCATGTTGTTCTACCAGCAAGTTTAAAACAAGTAATAAAAGAACCACCAAAATGTACACCAACCTAAAGTGAGGGACCAGAGATCTTAATCATATAACTCGTCTCACTTTACACCCATCACTCCCTTTTGTTCATTGCCCTGACTTATTGCTTCATGTCTAACATACAGAATGCAAACTCTTGGAGGCAGGGATCTGTCTTTTATTTGTTCAGTAAAGCACTTACCTCGATTTTAGGTACTAGAATAAATAATTATATTTTTGTGCACCAATTGTGATAACTGCAATATAATCTGGCTATCAGCCGTGAGAGCTGATTGGCTCTTATGGTACATATAAATTACTTTCAAAGAAACCTGGGCAATGGTCTGTGCTAGTGGTACTTCAGAACCAGCAACTTGTAAGAGAAATATCCTACAAACTAAATACAAAATGACTTTCCCAGAAATATTTCTGTTTGTGTGTTTCAGGGGCAGCTAGATAATTAAAGCCTTAATGCACATAGAGATGTTGGTGTAGGAAAGAGAGGGTTAATTTTAACTTCGGCACTGGGGAACCACAGGGAAGAAAAACCCATAAAAGGGATAGCCTACCCCTTCCACGGAAGGGAACAGAAAAATCTAAGGTTTTGGTGGTGGTAGACTGAACTGGGTGCGGAGAGCAGGCAAGCATTTGTATAGCAACTTCATTGGAGTATCCTGCTCTGTTTAACCAAGGTTAAACCTCACAACACACTTCTGAAAGAAGGAAACATTGTTTAGGAGCAGGAAACTCACACGCAGATGGCTTGTCCAAGGTCATACAGCGATGCGTGCTGCAGAGGCAAAACAGAACCCAGGAGTGGGGACTCTCAGTCCAGCACTGCACTTGCGAGTTTGGTAACTAAATGCCCGCTCGCTCGGCACAGGAGCATAAGGACGGCGACGCTTGAGGGCAGGCAAGTGAGGTGCTGCAACCCAGGTAACAGAAATTCCTCACAGGGCAACGGCCTCCCGTGCCACGGAACTGGCCACTGCCAATCCCAACCTCAGGCCCCACAAGTCTCTTCCACGCTCCCATGAGGCTCCTGGGTACCTCACCACGGATATTCGCCGCTGGGGGCGGTGCCCACAGGCACATGCGGGGGACCAGCCCCACGCCGGGGAGTAAGCCGCTGGGGAGTAACGCCCTTTCCCTCCCTGCCCCCTTTTCATTCCCCCTCTGCTTCGCGTCCCAAATCGCAGCCCCCTCAGAAGCTGCCCTGCCACGCGTGGGGCGGCCCCAAGAGGATGTCGGGGCGGGGTTTAGACAGGGACCCCCGTCCCACGCCAGCATGACAATGGCCAACCCCGCGCCCGGCCCCCACTCCCTGACCACACGCAGGTAGGGGGAAGCCGGGGCACACGCCGGCACCGTTACTTTTCGGCCCGCGCGAGCTGGGGGCGGGGGCGGGAACGCGCGCGCGCACCTGCACACGCGGGACGGCGCGCCAGGAGTTGTTTTGTAAACAGCGGTGAAGCCCCGCCCAGCCCAGCCCAGCGTGCGCGCGACGGCCGCGGCTTCCCCGGCCCCGGCGGCTGCCGCCCAGGCGCTCCCCGCAGTGGCGGTCCTGGTCCCTCTCTCGCACCGCTGTATCGGCGGCCTACCGGCCGCTTCCCAGCCCAGCAGCCCTACTCTCACCTCAGCCGCTTCTCCTTTTTCCCTTCCGTACCTCGTTGGGGTCAGAGGACGCGAGACGCCTCCACTTCCTGTTCCGGGTTATGGCCCCGGAGCCTGACTCTTGCTTCCATGCGTCCTCTATTGGTCGGCTCAGGTGGGGCCCATCGCTGCCCCGGGGGCCAGGTCTCGGTAAGCAGAGACTGGAGGAGCTCTCCCCTGACAGCTAGTGGGGCGCTGTGGACAAAGACTTCAGACGCTGGTCTCCTTTGCGTGGGCACACCCATGCTGCCTACCTGCTCAGCGTGATGGGACTGCTTGTCCAAATGATCCCTTGTGGCTGGCCTTGGCTCCCCAGTCTCCTTGTTATTGGGGCAGGAGTAATAAAGGGTAGTTATCCTTGTTGTGTGAACTGAGGGCAACAGAACTGTACCTGGCACACCCCAAAGGTGGGACTCACCCTCAACTAAATGGTTTCAGAGTAACAGCCCTGTTAGTCTGTATTCGCAAAAAGAAAAGGAGGACTTGTGGCACCTTAGAGACTAACCAATTTATTTGAGCATAAGCTTTCGTGAGCTACAGCTCACTTCATCGGATGCATTCAGTGGAAATTACAGAAGATCTTTTTATACACACAAACCATGAAAAAATGGGTGTTTACCACTACAAAAGGTTTTCTCTTCCCCCCACCACTGGAAATGGCCCAACTTGATTATCATACATATTGTAAGGAGAGTGATCACTTTAGATAAGCTATGACCAGCAGGAGAGTGGGGTGGGGGGAGAGAAAACCTTTTGTAGTGGTAAACACCCATTTTTTCATGGTTTGTGTGTATAAAAAGATCTTCTGTACTTTCCACAGTATGCATCCGATAAAGTGAGCTGTAGCTCACGAAAGCTTATGCTCAAATAAATTGGTTAGTCTCTAAGGTGCCACAAGTACTCCTTTTCTTTTTCCTCAACTGAATAGCACTCGCTGGGCACGGGACATGGGTTCCCAAGCCCATTGAGTTAAAAGAGGGTTGTGTTGAAGGGTTGTAGACATAATTTAACCTGTCATATCTCTATGGTATAATAGAGCTACTTTAGATTCAATTGAGAGTCTTGTTATATGGTGCAGAGCTGAAAGCGTTGATACCTAGGTCTAAGTATTAGACTTATTTTGGGATAGTTTCTCTATTGTAAGAGACTGACCAGTGTGCCCCAGTAGTGAGGGTCCCCCACTTACAGGTGAAATCACTGAGAGCTGTGTTAATTGTGGGGAAGGACCTTGAAGACATCATGGTGAACAGGCAACTAGTGGAGAGGAGTGACCAGCAGCTAGCAGAGCCCTGCAGAGGTGTGGCAATTGGCCGTGTGGTGACAAGCGAGTGCTTGAGCAGTGCAGTTTTCCACACAGGGTGGGAGGTGAAGTCTATGGCTGAACCTCTGAACTTTGGTGCTGTACTGGCCAAGGACAGCTGTGAGTGGGGTACTGAGAAGGGGGGTCATATTAAAGGGGCTTCTGGGTTGCTGGACTTAAGACCTTGAGGAGAAAAGGACACTGCCCAGCTTACTTGGGGTTGGTTCTTTTGTTCATGGTTTGTGTTTATGGGTCCTAGTTGCAGTGTTTTCCCAAATTTATGCTGTTAATTCCCTCCTTTTAGTAAAAGTTTCTGCTACAGTCAGATTCTGTGCTTGTGAAAGGGGAAGTATTGCCTCTTAGAGGCATCCAGGGGGTAGTGTGTAATTGTCCCAGGTCACTGGGTGGGGGGTTTGAGCCGGTTTTGTGTTGTATTATTGAAAAGGAACCCCTAGATACTGAACCCAGCCCTTGTTGCTGCTGGCTTCATCTGGTAGAAGGGTTACTTCTACAGGGGCCCTCTCTCACTAGAGAGGTGAAGAGGCACCTAGTGAGATTTCCAAAGCACTTGGGGCACCTAACGCCCATCAACTTCAATAGGAGTCAGGGGCCTGGACCCAATGACAATCCCACTAGGTTCCTATTTGCATTCTTAGATGCTTAAATACCTTTTAAAATCTGGTCCTTTCTTACAAAAACGTTACATTCCTGCATAGCATCCAAGTCAAACATCAGTTTTTGTGTATCTTGTGTTATGTCTGGATTTATAACCATGCTAACATGGGAGATACAGAACTCGCATTTGCAATGTTTAGCCGTACATTGTTTCCAACCATGATTTTATTGCGAGTCTCATGATATTTTCTGTTCTTCTTTACCCGCCTCTAGAGTCAAGTGATTACATGAGAATTTCAGCTTTCTTTTAAAAAACAATTAGTTTCTAGTCCTTGTGGTTGTGGAAGGAAACTTGAAAGTGTGACCTGACTGTAGACTTAAAGGCTCAACAAATAGAAGGCAAATAAACCCCCCAAATATGTATGCTTTTGATCAATTTTTTTCAATCTCACTCATGATGTTTGGATGCTTGGGGTTGGCAATACTAAAATTTCTACTTTCTAAGAAATACGCTGAGCACTTACCCTCTAAAACACATAATTTCTTTACACCATCTGAAGAAAGATTAGGACATAAAGACATTTCTGTCGTTGTCCTTTTAGCAATCAACAAAGAGCTTGTTTTTCATTAAGTATCATATCTGCCCCATCAAACCTTATCACAGATGAAGGTCCCATTTTGACTTAATGGCTGAATTATAGCTAAGACTGTTCATGTTATATGGAAGAGCATGAATGGTTAAAAATAGTAAACTCAATGCTTATCTGATGTTCTATTTATTTTAACCTTTAGGGTTTTTTAATTCGTTTCATACTCCTTTGAGTGACCAGCTATTGCATCTTTCCCCCTTGCAGTCTCTTCCTGGCATTGGGTCAATATTTTTAGTGTGTGTCCTCATATTTTATGGTAGTAAGGTCAAATGCAAACAATGTCAAAGCCCAAGCCTTTACCTATGAAGACATCTGTCAAGGCTGATTCCCCACTCTGGCACTTCCGAGTGCAGAAGGTGGGGTGCCCAGCAGGATCCTAAAAATTAATACTGGCCACTCCAGGCTTGTATTAAACTCCCAAAGTTACAGCTTCTCTCTGACCTTGGATGGGTAGATGCTGCCACCAACCAAATGCAAAACCCCTTGGAATCCAGGAAGGCATACTTGGGATTTCTTTCCTGTGTGGTACCCTCAAGCCTTTTCACCCCCGGGGAAGAACTGGGAGAGAAAACAAAGGAAATTAGCTGTTTCCCCCAGCTAATTAAACAACATATGCACAAATCTTGAGGTTGGACACCAAAAATCCAATCCTGTTCTTAAAAAAGGTAAATTGTATTAAAAACAAAAAGAATGAAAATACATCTGGAACTTGGGCCTTTGCTAGATTTAAAAAACCCAATTACAAAAATTAAACATCAAATATAACCTTCTTGAGGTCCAGCTTAAAGGTTACACGCAAAACAAAAAGCATTTGCAAAAAGAAAAGGCATACTTGTTTCACTTTAGAGACTAACCAATTTATTTGAGCATAAGCTTTCGTGAGCTACAGCTCACTTCATCGGATGCTTATGCTCAAATAAATTGGTTAGTCTCTAAGGTGCCACCAAGTACTCCTTTTCTTTTTGCGAATACAGACTAACATGGCTGCTACTCTGAAAAAAGCATTTGGGGTTAGCACAGAGGAATCCACAAGCCAATCAGAAATAAACCTAATCGTGTCTTTCTAGACATTTTCTGATTTATGAGTAGGTTTTAGGTATGATCTGATAATTTCCATACCTGACAAAAAGCTTTTTACAGCATAGTCCCAGCCTTGTCTTTGCTCTGTCCCCTCTCTCTTGAGAACAACAACAGAACAGACAAAGGGAAATTTTTCCCAATTTTAAAAAGTTCTAGCCTTCCCATTGGCTCTTTTGGTCAGGTGCCCACTCCTTTCCTTTTACCTGTGGACTTTTTAACTCTTGACAGGTAAAGCAAGTGGAGAACAGCTACTAAGAGGGATTTTATAGCTAACTGGCTTGCTGGGTGCCCACAGAAGGGAGCTACTGCACCCCACTCCCCTTCATTTATCAACACATCTGTAAATACAGGTTTGGATTCTGCAGTGTGATCCATCTAACTGCACCCTTGTGCACATGTGAAGCCACATTGAAAGTGCCATACTATGGGAAATCTTGCAGAGCAAATTTAGTAATGTGTACTCAGAATTGAAGTAATACAGAAAATTATACAGTAAAATAGCATAGGATTTTTTTTAAAGGGGGATGCTTCACTGTTTTTCCTTTTACGCTAGTAGCTGACCCAGGCTGTCATAAAGTCGTCTGAAAAAAAGTCAAAAATGGGTAAAAACTTAAAAAGTGGATGGTAACAGATCATGAGTCCCAGTGATGACAGAACCTCATGATATTCTAAACAAAAAGAGCTCCCAACCATGCTTGTAGCTGTTCCCATCACTTCATACTGACTCAAAAGACATTCTCAGGTTTCAGAGCGACACACGGAGTGACAATCCTAGAATCATATTGTATAGATATACATGCACATGCACGGGTACGTATATATATGAGCAGCAAAAGTGGAAGAAAATGCTAGGATGTATGAAGGTTTGGATGGAAAATAATACTGAAAAACATTGCAACACCATTATATAAATCACTGGTATAACCTCACCCTAAGTACTGAGTTCAGATCTGGCCACCCCAGCTGAAAAAATATGTAACAGAAATAGGGATGGAAAGAAGGATGATGAAAATCGGAGGTGTGGAAAAGATTCATATAATGGGAACTGTTTGGTCGGAGAGGAAATATTATAGAGAAATATAAAATAATGAATGGTAAAGAGAAGGAAAAGCAGGCATTCCTATATACCCTTACTTACACAATACAAGAATAAGGGAACATTCAATGAAATATTGAAAAGTATTAAAGCAACAAATTTAAATCAATTTTACACCACATATAGTTAACCTATGGAGCTTACTGCCTATTGAGTCTAAGAACTCAGCAGGATTCAGAAAAGTCTCAGGACAGCAGACAATGGTTAAAAGAAAGAAAAGAGGTACAAACCTGATACAACCTTGTTTCCATTTTTAACTTGTTTTAACTCAGCTGTGTTTTACTATGTTCCACTAGAGGGCTATCTGATCACCTGTATTCTTACATACAAAGTTAGTACCCTGTAAGAGGTGGGGCAATTTCTTACTTTGTTTTCATAGGTAGAATATTGTTAATCTTGGCCCAAGTCAAAAGAAAGAGTTAATTATTACATGTATTCTTAATTTGAAATTGTTACTAAATTTGTTCAAATTGTCCCATATACTGCCACAATACAGAGCTTTTTAAAACAAAGCTTATCTAGCCCAAACCTGTGATCACAGACACAATTCTAATTGTGTTGTGTTTTTATTTAACTTTTTTTTCAGTCACACTACAGCATCAGCTGGAGAGCCAGCCCTAACTTTGAATCTCCTTTGGTGAATTAACCTCTTCAGAGAACTCCAAAGATGTAATTATGTGGGGTCAATGCAAATTTTGCAGTTGATTTAAGGGGGAAATTGGAACTGGGCCTCAAAATAGGTAAGCATCCCTCCCTTCTCTCACATCCATGTTAGTTGTTCTGAATCATACAGTAAAAGCTGTGTTATCCAGCAGTTTACCAACCAGAAAGCTCTAGAAACCAGCATTTCTGATATCCATTAAAAGTCCAGTTGGTGTGGGGCTGGCAGGCTCCCTATCTGGCTCCGTGTGGCTCCCCAAAAGTGGCAACATGTCCCTGCTGCTCCTAGACCGAGGAATGGCCAAGGGGGCTCCGAGCTCTGCCCCCACCCCCTGGCTCCGCAGCTCCCACTGGCCTGGAACCATAGCCAATGGGAGCTGCAAGGGTGGCACCTGTTGGCGGAGGCAGCGTGCAGAACCGCCTGGCTGTGCCTCCACCTAGGAGCAGCAGAGACATGTTGCCTCTTCCAGAGAGTCACCCAATGTGAGCACCACCCAGATCCGGCACCCCGAAACCCCTCCTGTGTCCCAACACCCTGCCCCGAGACCCTCCCGCACCCAAACTCCCTCCCAGAGCCTGTGCCCTGCACCTCCTCCTGCACCCCAACCCCCAGTCCTGAGCCCCCCTCCTGCACCCAAACTCCCTCCCTCCACTGGTAAGTATAACTCTTAGTTAACTGGAATTTTAATGGTCCCTCCCATCCCCACAACATGCCGAATAACAAAGCTTTTACTGTATTATGTTTCTTATTGTTTCTAGTGTAAATGTCATGAAATTTTCCTCACATCTGAAGCCAAGCCAGCTCTTTTACTCTCTGTTATCTTGTGAGTAATTTTGAAGCAAAAAACAAAATTTCCCCCTCAAGAAAAAAGCAGGAATAGAGAAGTTCTGTTTTTTCTCCAACAACAAAACTTAATTACAGGATAAAAATGCTGATAAGCCAAACTACTAGCCTTTGTAAGAGAAAAGACATTTTTCATTTAGAAAATGTAGGGACTTTTGCACCTGGGCAAACAGGAAGATGGTGAAAAGAACTTTTGAACAAAAATCTATTTATTTGACTGGTAGTTTTCAGCTTTTCCCCTGCTGTTCAAAGAAACTACTGTATGAACTTGACCTCTTGATTTTTGATTCTGCAATAAAGTCATAAACCTCTGTCATATCATAGGTTGGTATTGTATTTAGGATCCTGGACTGGGACTCAGAAGATCTGAGTTCATTTTCTGGCTTCGACACAGGCTGTGTGACTTTGGTCAAGTTCACTTAATCTGTGTGTCAGTTTTTTTTCCCCCTGTAAAAGGAGGATAATTGCACTTTCCTACCTCACAAGGGTGTATTGAGTGAAGTACTGCAGTAGTGGGGGCCATGTAACTAGAGAGAAGTATCAAATAACTTAGTCATGTAACAGTCAATTGCCTTAGAAACATTTGAGATGTCAAAATGGTCCAATCCTGTGGGCAGAATTCTCATTTACTTCACAACTGGGCCCAAAATCAGCATTATAAATTCCCTGCAGAATAAAATGCAGATATAGAAGACTGACTAAGAAGTTTAAAAAAAATTGATGTATTCCTCACCCTCATCTAATTTCTGGTCAGTCCACATTATTTTTCAGACTTTTGTTTTCTTCAGTCCTCTTTGAAGCCTGGCAAATGTCATGAAAGTTTACCAGGTTAAACTCAAGATCTATTCATCAGTATTTTGCCATGAGGATTTGGCGGGGGAGTGGAATTCTATTAAAAAATTGGGATAGGCAAATGTTGAATCAAATTTTTCAAGATAAACCATCGTACTTCAGGATCAAACATTTTCTACCCTGTACTGATCACTCTTAAGCAAAGATTTTAAATATATTTATTGAATTTATTGAATCCATTGGTTTTCTCATGTGACTAATTTTGGAACATGAGGTCTTTCTCCAGTAGATCCCTGTTTTAAATCAGGACTGTGTCAACAGAGGGCTGAGCTTAATCTCTGATGGCTGTCCAGTGGCCTGAGTGAAATGTATTGGCAGTTTCAGGCAACTTTCTCGATAGTATGCAGTTTGTACACAGCTGCCCCGAGAGGGAAGGTATTCAGAATCTTTCATATAGCACTCAAATAATATGGCTATTGGCTACTTACTGTGATGTTGTCATCCATGTTTTTGGACAGTCAAATCACATGAATGGATAGTCAACATTCCAAAGCTTTAGCCTCCATTTAGACTTTGTACTGAGAACATGAGAGAGGAGTAGAGCACAGCATGGGAGTCTCTTCATCCAGCAAAAGTGGAGTTCAGATTGTGCAAAGCCACAATTTCTTATGGCAACTCAATATTAAGCTCTTTTGCATGTAGAGGACAGATGTCCAAAGCCACAAAAAGCCTTCCTAGCACTCCATCCTTTGTCATTTTCCACTCAAATCATTTCAGCAATATCATCTTTAAAAAGATGGAAGTAAATTTCTTGTTGTAGGAAGTAAGCAAAAGCCTAATGGGAAGAAATTGTCTCAAGTAAAATTGTCCTCCATTTTGCTTATTTTGCTTTATGCTCCATTTTGCTCACTTTGAATTAGTAAGAAGAAATTGTTCTGCATTTATTCTTTACTGATTGTGTTATTGATTGTTTTTAGAAGGGTAGAAGTTTATAGCTGTAATTGCTGTAATTATTTACTGTTTGATGTGAGTGAAGAATGCATGATAATTAATTGAGAATGGACAGCTAGGCCAGATGGTCAAGAAGGGAGTGGAGGAGTCGAGAGCCACCAACTTTCACCTGCATGACAGATTGACGACCCTAAAGAAAAGGCATACACCCCAAGGCCAAGATAAAGAGTGAAGCCAGAGGGACGAGATAGGAAACAACTGCAGATAACTCCCAGTAACAACCCAAATAATGCTGATGGAAGCAACCTTGAACAGCTCCAGTGTAACACAGCAAGTTCCAGAGGACTTGTATGGGAACTTATTACTATAAAAGAAGGATGTATTGTCATGGGACTTTTGGTTCGCTCTGCATCAACATCAGAGCTTTGAACACGTTCGACAGAGCCCAGCTCCCCATCCCTCGGGTGTAGTTTCAGCTGGCCACTAGAACTGACCGAGCAACACTAAGGACTGGTAACTATAAGATCCAGCTGCAGAACTGTGTGTGTGTGTGTGAGTGAGAGAGAATGGAAGCATATTCTGATTTTAATGCTTAAATTGTACTCTCAATAAATGCAGTGTATTACCTTATCCCCTTTAAAAGATTCCATGTGCTTCTTATAAGCATAACAAGGAGACTTGTAGTATACTCCCAGCCTAGAGCTGAAGTTGATAAGTTTAGAGACAGCTACTTAAATAGTGTGTACAGGAAATGTTCCCATCCTAATCTCTTTATCTATGTGAAATGACCCTACTGGGAGCTGAATTTAAGGCATGCAGTCAGATTATTGATATGTGCTTAAAAAATAGTAAGGGATTGATTGGAACCTTTGTCCCTTTTGATATGTCTTGAGTGGAATTAGAGCTGACAAAGTACTGGGGTAACCTGTATTGGACAGAGAATTTCAAGGGTTTTCCCTGAATTGGAGAAATGTCTATCAGAATGCAGCTTACTTCCTGCATGACATTAAGCTGAACAACAACAAATCATATTGTTTTCTTCCATCCTCAGTGCATTGCATATGCTTCCCCATTTAGCTGTTTGGTATGAAAGATAAAAACTTCCCCAAAGATTTCTTGTCATACAAAGCGGGCCAAATCCTGGAGTCCTTATTCAGACAAAACTTTTCAGACTCAGTGGAAAGAAGTAAGAACTGAATACAATTTAAGAAAGAACTTCAGCCATCATTTACCATGATCTCTTGATAAGAAGCATGGAGTGCAATTCTGCTCTCAGTCTAGTCATTCTAAATCTAATACTTGTCCATAGAAGTCAATGCATTTACTCCTGATTCACAGCAGCATAGCTGAGGAACAGAATCGTAATTTACTTATTCTCCTCTCATCTATGTGCCTGCTGCAGTCCATGGTGGGCTAATTCTCTGCTGGTATATACTGGCATAGCTTCAGTGACTTTAGTGGATCCATGCCACTTCACACCAGCTGAAAAAGATTACTAATACATATTGAGGCTTCCATGTAGGAGGAGTGCAGATTGGTGAAATACTTGGTGAAACAATTGTAGTTGGCATGCCCATTTGCTAATTCTTGATATCTCCATGGTTCTTTCTGAAACTACTTTTCCGTACACCAGTATCCCACTGCATTGGTGGAGGCAGAACCCCCATTGTGTGAAAAGCATTCTTACTAGACCACGATCTTGTCAGCTTGGTTATTTGTATTCATTAGATAACAACGGTTAGTCTCTGATATTTGACAAAATAACAGAGAAGTAGTTTATTACATGCATAAGTTCAAGAATCTTGGACTGAACAGTGATTGGATTGCCAGTCACATAGTGATTCTGGCATCTCGTTCCTATTTTGCTATTATACTACTAAATAATGGAAATATCTGTGATCTGAAAGGTCTGTATTGAAACCATTTCCAAATATTTGTGAACACTGAAAAAAATCATAAACATCAATGAAAAATTCATGGGAAACTGGACATTTCTCACAAGTAACTTTTCCATGTCATATCTGTCATTGCCCGATGCACCCTTTTCTTTCCCTCTCATCTAAGTTGCATGCTAAAATTGATGATTTAACTGAATAGAGCAGGCCATGAATTCATTCCCTGAGGTGGCAGAGATTTAACTAAGAGCAGAGCCGGTCATGAACTATGCCACCTATTATATTTTAGGTTAGTTGTTCTTTTATAGTAATGTCTGTGGAAAAATCTTAATATTTTATTAAAACCATCTGAGGGATTTAGTTTAGCCACATAATCTTCTGTTCATTTTACTGAAAAATATTTTTTGTCTGTATTACTGTAGTGCCTAGGAGCTGTTGTGCTAACTTCAAGGGAGTAAGTAGCCCCAGAGAGTCAAAGGTGTTAATGTGACCCCGTCTCTGTACAACACTAAACAGTTAAATATGGTTTTGAGTAGAGACCTCTAGTTGTTTAGTCCTTTGGCAAACATACCATTAAAAATCCTTTTAATCTTTTTAT